GAACTTGCTACGAACCTGAATAGTCCGATTTCTTGGACCAATCGATATCGGATTGAGTCCAAAACTTGGGGAACAACAAAATATGGTGGGAGGAGTCATTTGGTGGGTTTTGATTGAAATCCAATGGCTAAAACTATGCAATAAACCAACCACTCCATTTTAGAACGAACTTCTACGAACCTGAATAGTCCGATTTCATGGACCAATCGATATCGGATTGAGTCCAAAACTTGGGGAACAACAAAATATGGTGGGAGGAGTCATTTGGTTTTTTTGAGTGAAATCCAATGGCTAAAACTTTGCAATACACCAACTACTCCATTTCAGAACGAATTTCGTCCAAACCTGAATAGTCCGATTTCATGGACCAATCGATATCGGATTGAGTCCAAAACTTGGGGAACAACATAATATGGTGGGAGGAGTCATTTGGTTGGTTTTGAGTGAAATCCAATGGCTAAAACTATGCAATAAACCAACCACTCCATTTCAGAACGAACTTCCTACGAACCTGAATAGTCCGATTTCATGGACCAATCGATATCGGATTGAGTCCAAAACTTGGGGAACAACATTATATGGTGGGAGGAGTCATTTGGGGGGTTTTGAGTGAAATCAAATGGCTAAAACTATGCAATACACCAACATTCCATTTCAGAAAGAACTTCTACGAACCTGAATAGTCCGATTTCATGGACCAATCGATATCGGATTGAGTCCAAAACTGGGGGAACAACGAAAATATGGTGGGAGGAGTCATTTGGTGGGTTTTGATTGAAATCCAATGGCTAAAACTAAGCAATAAACCAACACCCCCATTTCAGAACGACTTCGAACAAACCTGAATTGTCCAATTTCATGGACCAATCGATATCGGATTGAGTCCAAAACTTGGGCAACAAAATATGTTGGGAGGAGTCATTTGGTTGGGTTTGGATTGAAATCCAATGGCAAAAACTATGCAATAAACCAACACTCCATTTCAGAACGAACTTCGTTCGATTTAATGGAACTTAGGGAACATCAAAATATGGTGTGAGGAGTCATTTGGTTGGTTTTGATTGAAATCCAATGGCCAAACTACGAAATAAACCAACCACTCCATTTCAGAACGGACTTCGAACGAACCTAAATTGTCCAATTTCATGGACCAATCGATATCGGATTGAGTCCAAAACTGGGGGAACACCAAAATGTGGTGGGAGGAGTCATTTGGTTGGTTTGAGTGAAATCCAATGGCTAAAACTATGCCATACAACCACCACTCCATTTCTGAACGAACTTCGTACGAACCTGAATTGTCCGATTTCATGGACCGATATATATCGGATTGAGTCCAAAACTTGGGGAACAACATAATATGTTGGGAGGAGTCATTTGGTTGTTTGGAGTGAAATCCAATGGCTAAAACTATGCAATACACCAACCACTCCATTTCTGAACGAACTTGCTACAAACCTGAATAGTCCGATTTCATGGACCAATCGATATCGGATTGAGTCCAAAACTTGGGGAACAACAAAAAATGGTGGGAGGAGTCATTTGGTTGTTTTTTGATTGAAATCCAATGGCTAAAACTATGCAATACACCAACCACTCCATTTCAGAACGAACTTCCTACGAACCTGAATAGTCCGATTTCATGGACCATTCGATATCGGATTGAGTCCAAAACTTGGGGAACAACAAAATATGGTGGGAGGAGTCATTTGGTGGGTTTTGATTGAAATCCAATGGCTAAAACTATGCAATAAACCAACACTCCATTTCAGAAAGCACTTCTACGAACCTGAATAGTCCGATTTCATGGACCAATCGATATCGGATTGAGTCCAAAACTTGGGGAACAACAAAATATGGTGGGAGGAGTCATTTGGTTGGTTTTGAGTGAAATCCAATGGCTAAAACTATGCAATAAACCAACCATTCCATTTCAGAACGAACTTCCTACGAACCTGAATAGTCCGATTTCATGGACCAATCGATATCGGATTGAGTCCAAAACTTGGGGAACAACAAAATATGGTGGGAGGAGTCATTTGGTGGGTTTTGATTGAAATCCAATGGCTAAAACTATGCAAAATAAACCAACCACTCCATTTCAGAACGAACTTCGAACGAACCTGAATTGTCCGATTTCATGGACCAATCGATATCGGATTGAGTCCAAAACTTGGGGAAACACCAAAATGTGGTGGGAGGAGTCATTTGGTTGGTTTTGAGTGAAATCCATTGGCTAAAACAATGCAATACACCAACCATTCCATTTCAGAACGAACTTCTACGAACCTGAATTGTCCGATTTCATGGACCAATCGATATCGGGTTGGGTCCAAAACTTGGGGAACATCAAAATATGGTGGGTGAAGTCATTTGGTGTTTTTTGAGTGAAATCCAGTGGCTAAAACTATGCAATACACCAACCACTCCATTTCAGAACGACTTCGTACGAACCTGAATTGTTCGATTTCTTGGACCAATCGATATCGGATTGAGTCCAAAACTTGGAGCATATCAAAATATGGTGGGAGGAGTCATTTGGTTGGTTTTGATTGAAATCCAATGGCTAAAACTGTGCAATACACCAACCATTCCATTTCACAACAAAGGTCATACGAACCTGAATTGTCCGATTGCATGGACCAATTGGTATCGGATTGAGTAGAAAACTTGGGGAACATCAAAATATGGTGGGATGACTCATTTGGTGGGTTTTGATTGAAATCCAATGGCTAAAACTACGCGATAAACCAAGCACTCCATTTCAGAACGGACTTCGTACGAATCTGAGTTGTCCGATTTCATGGACTAATCGATATCGGATTGAGTCCAAAACTGGGGGAACATCAAAATATGTTGGGAGGAGTCGTTTGGATTGTTTTGATTGAAATCCAATAGCTAAAACTATGCAATACACCAAGCACTCCATTTCAGAATGAACTTCATACGAACCTGAATTGTCCAATTTCATGGACCAATCGATATCGGATTGAGTCCAAAACTTGGGGAACATCAAAACATGGTGGGAGGAATCATTTGGTGGGTTTTGATTGAAATCCAACGGCTAAAACTATGCAATGCACCTAGCACTGCATTTCAGAACGAACTTCATACGAACCTGAATTGGCAGGACCCGCCCCAAATTTCCCGGAACCCGAGATTGATCCTGTGGAATGCTCGACATCACCTTGAAGTCGGGCCCGCTCACTAAACTATATCCTCTTTTTCCAAAGAGGAATAAGGGCATGAGACTTTCTTCCGAAATTTCCGCAGAGTCTCCCTTGTAAATTGAACATTCCCCAAAATTTCCACCCGCATAAAACACATTTAATATACCAATAGGCAGCACACAGAAAATATTTTCAAGCAATTCACATAAATGGCCTCCGGCCTTCTAATATTTCTCCAGCAATGTTCTTAACTCCAATTAATGCATTAAACAATGCATATAACCATCTCAAACTTATTTATAAACGCCCACTCTAATCAACATACGAGGATTTAACCTCCTAATAAGTACACCTCTCGTTCTTACCTGAATCTCAGGATCAATGACAAGGTCCGCGCCACACTCATAACATACAAAAGTAAAGTTTAACCCGCGGCTGCACCTAGTAACTTCAGGCTGCCAACGTACCCTTACTGAGGGATCAAGCCACACGTAGTTCTTTCTCTAAAACCCTTTTTCTTTAAGTCACAACTCACCAAAACCTCCCCATACGCTGGAACATCCAAAGTCACGTATGGGGCCTGTCCGCACGCCGGATAAACCTGCGACACGTGGGACCTCATCATCATATCACATATCTCCCCTCATACGTCGGGACGCACCCGGCCATGTATGGGGTCTGTCAACACGCCGACTACTCCTACGACACGTGCGACCTCAACACAATATCAATATCTCCCCTCATACGTCGGGACGCACCCAGCCACGTATGGGGTCTGTCAACACGCCGGCTACTCTTACGACACGTGCGACCTCAACACAATCACATATCTCCCCTCATACGTCGGGACGCACCCGGCCACATATGGGGTTTGTCAATATCCGGGGAGGTAAATAGGGTAGTGCGTATAGCACTCCAAACTGACATTCTATACTCTTTTATACCTTTGTGTATACACATAATTATATACATTAATTTCTAATATTGTAAACACCTTAACAACCATCTAGCATCCGATAAACCACCCCCCCCCCTCCCAATTAAAAAAATCATCATTTAATATCCTAAACCCACAATATCCACATAACTCGACTAACGGTCAAGACCTGTCTCTACGGTCATTTCAATCTTCCTACGAAGTCTCACGGACAACCCAAGGTCAAACTACCCAACCTTGGTCAAACAGGCCACGGGGCCCACGACCTCCAAATCCTGATCTGACAATTTCTATGAGTGCTACATGGTTTAGGACACACGCCCTACAAGTTTGGTCCAGATTGGACGGTCAGATCGCTCACGATCGCACGATTGGACGGTTACTAAAACCCTAACCCTAGGGTTGGCATTTTCGGAGTATCTGGGACTCCGTTTTACGATCCTTCGAATCCTACACGATCCTAGGAATACCTAGATCAACATATATTAAATTGGAGTCAATCCAACGGTCCGAACCTATCGAACCCGGATAACGCGAATAGGCGATATCCGTTCGAGACTCAAACGGTATCCAAATCGAAATCCGAGTACACCTACGCGCTCGTGAGAACTAGGAGATCATTTTAGAACCTAAAGCCGGTCCATTTTCCTAGCCCAGGCGCCGCCACACGCGCCAGCAGCGCGTGGGTGCTTTGAGTAATTTCCGGTGGCCGGAAAAACTCCAAACCGCCGGCCAAGCTCCCTATCCTAGGTGTAAAACCCCATTTGGAGTCACTTTTGTTCTTGGGCATACCCCAAAAAATGCCCGGAAATGGCCGGAATCGCTATCTCCAAACCGACTGAACCCAAGATCGAAAATCAAACAATCTAAGCTAAAAATTCAGGAAATCCTACTCAACCATCAGCTAGAGCTCGAGGAGTAGATGGATTTCCATACCTGGATCGCCAAAAATGGCTGCCGGAAGACGGAGAACGAAGCCGGCGAAATTCTGTCAAAACCGGTGCGAATCCGAGCTTTTTCCGGCGGATTTCGGCGGTGGCTGACGTTGGAAAAAGGCTGCTGGGGTGACAGCGGTTCAAACCCGACCGGTCTGGTGGCCGGTGGTGCTGCATGGTGGCGGCGAGGGCCCAAAATGGCCGTCGGTGAATAGTGCGGGGAAGGGAGAGAGCTGAGGGCATTTTTGACTTTTTATCAAAAATCCCCTTTTCAAATAATTACGATTATGACACTGAGTTTCATTCGATCGTAGCTCTCTCGTTACAACTCCGATTTGAGCCCACTACATGTTTACGAGCTAATCTCAGTACGACCTATGTAATGGTACAACTGGAATTCCCAAATTCCTTTCGAGTAAGAAAATGACTCAAATACCCCTATCCCAAGGGTAAATTCGTAATTTCACTCAAATTAATTAAAATAGGCAATAAAATTGGAGTCGGGGTGTTACATGAATAGTCCAATTTCATGGACCAATCGATATCGGATTGAGTCCAAAACTTGGGGAACATCAAAATATGGTGGGAGGAGTCATTTGGTGGGTTTTGAATGAAATCCAATGGCTAAAACTATGCAATAAACCAACATTCCATTTCAGAACGACTTCTACGAACCTGAATTGTCCGATTTCATGGACCAATCGATATCGGATTGAGTCCAAAACTTGGGGAACATCAAAATATGGTGGGAGGAGTCATTTGGTTTTTTTGAGTGAAATCCAATGGCTAAAACTATGCAATACACCAACCATTTCATTTCAGAACGAACTTCGTACGAACCTAAATTGTCCGATTTCATGGACCAATCGATATCGGATTGAGTCCAAACCTTGGGGAACATCAAAATATGGTGGGAGGAGTCATTTGGTGGGTTTTGATTGAAATCCAATGGCTAAAACTATGCAATACACCAACCATTCCATTTCAGAACGAACTTCGTACGAACCTGAATTGTCCGATTTCATGGACCAATCGATATCGGATTGAGTCCAAAACTGGGGGAACATCAAAATATGGTGGGAGGAGTCATTTGGTTGTTTTGAGTGAAATCCAATTGCTAAAACTATGCAATACACCAACCACTCCATTTCAGAACGAACTTCGTACGAACCTGAATTGTCCAATTTCATGGACCAATCGATATTGGATTGAGTCCAAAACTGGGGGAACATCAAAATATGGTGGGAGGAGTCATTTGGTTGTTTTGAGTTGAAATCCAATGGCTAAAACTATGCAATACACCAACCACTCCATTTCAGAACGAACTTCGTACAAACCTGAATTGTCCGATTTCATGGACCAATCGATATCGTATTGAGTCCAAAACTGGGGGAACATCAAAATATGGTGGGAGGAGCCATTTGGTGTTTTGAGTGAAATCCAATGGTTAAAACTATGCAATACACCAACCACTCCATTTCAGAACGAACTTCGTACGAACCTGAATTGTCCGATTTCATGGACCAATCGATATCGGATTGAGTCCAAAACTTGGGGAACAACAAAATATAGTGGGAGGAGTCATTTGGTGGTTTTGAGTGAAATCCAATGGCTAAAACTATGCAATACACCAACCACTCCATTTCAGAACGAACTTCGTACGAACCTGAATTGTCCGATTTCATGGACCAATCGATATCGGATTGAGTCCAAAACTTGGGGAACATCATAATATGGTGGGAGGAGTCATTTGGTGGGTTTTGATTGAAATCCAATGGCTAAAACTATGCAATACACCAACCATTCCATTTCAGAACGAACTTCGTACGAACCTGAATTGTCCGATTTCATGGACCAATCGATATTTGATTGAGTCCAAAACTTGGGGAACATCAAATATGGTGGGAGGAGTCATTTGGTGGGTTTTGATTGAAATCCAATGGCTAAAACTAAGCAATGCACCAAGCACTGCATTTCAGAACAAACTTCGTACGAACTTGAATTGTTTGGTTTCATGGACCAATCGATATCGGATTGAGTCCAAACCTTGGGGAACATGGTGGGAGGAGTCATTTGGTGGGTTTTGATTGAAATCCAATGGCTAAAACTATGCAATACACCAACCATTCCATTTCAGAACGAACTACGAACGAACATGAATTGTCCGATTTCTTGGACCAATTGATATCGGTTGAGTCCAAAACTTGGGGAACATCATAATATGTTAGGAAGAGTCATTTGGTGTGTTTTGAGGGAAATCCAATCTCTAAAACTATGCAATCCACCAACCCCTCCATTTCTGAACGAACTTCGTACGAACCTGAATTGTCCGATTTCATGGACCAATCGATATCAAATTGAGTCCAAAACTTGGGGAACATATAATATGGTGGAAGGAGTCATTTGGTGGTTTTGAGTGAAATCCAATCTCTAAAACTATGCAATACAACAACTAATCCATTTCAGAACAAACTTCGTAAGAACCTGAATTGTCCAATTTCATGGATCAATCGATATCGGATTGAGTCCAAAACTTGCGGCACATCATAATATGGTGGGAGGAGTCGTTTTGTGGGTTTTGATTGAAATCCAATGGCTAAAACTATGCAATACACCAAGCACTGCATTTCAGAACGAACTTCGTACGAACCTGAAATGTCCAATTTCATGGACCAATCGATATCGGTTTGAGTCCAAAAAATGGGGAACATCAAAATAAGGTGGGAGGAGTCATTTGGTGGTTTTGAGTGAAATCCAATGGATAAAAAACTATGCAATACACCAACCACTCCATTTCATAACGAACTTCGTACGAACCTGAATTGTCCGATTTCACGGACCAGTCTATATCGGATTGAGTCCAAAATTTGGGGAACATCAAATATGGTGGGAGGAGTCATTTGGTGGGTTTTGAGTGAAATCCAATGGATAAAACTATGCAATACACCAACCATTCTATTTCAGAACGAACTTCGAACGAACCTGAATTGTCCGATTTCATGGATCAGTCGATAGAGTCCAAAACTTGGGGAACATCATAATATGGTGGGAAGAGTCATTTGGTGGGTTTTGAGGGAAATCCAATGACAGGACCCGACCCAAATTCCACTTTGGAATCCGAGCCGAACCCTATTCGTGATCGACACCTGGCGGGTGCCAAGCACAATTGACTTGGTTGCCCTTTTTTTTTAAAAAAAAAAAAAAAAATTAATTTCCCTTAAATCCTAACTTCTACCGAAAATTCGGAAGTCTCCCCTGTAATTCGGAAGTCTCCCCTATACACTAACTGTTAGTATACAAAAATAAGGTGAGTGGACCCAAAAACAAAGTTTAGAAAATACATATGAACATACTAACCCCACTGTAAAAGCAATTATAAAAACTAAATCATTGTCTTCTATATATGCGTACTGAAACCAATGCACTCATATATACATATATAAATATGCCAATCATGCTCATGGTCAACATCAATCTCTTAAAAGCATTGAAATCAGTTTAAAACTACCACCTAGGTGGGGTGTACCCCTTTGTTTCCATCAATTCCTGATATCCGTCAATTCCTGATATGCCGTCAATTCCTCGTATCACCATTGGTGACACGTCCTCGCATGTCTCAGTGGCACAAAGTCAATCCGAGCCGCAACCTCGCAGGATTTAGGGGACCTTGGTCAACCTGATTCGCGTCCCCGCTCCACACGAGTCCGGGTACCACAGAACTCATGGGGAAGCTGTCAAGCATGCTGACTAAACTGAAGGAAACTGATAAAATCCGAAGGCAACCTGGATGTCCGTGGACATCATCATATCCGAAGGCAACATCTGTATATCTGGGTACCTAGGGTGGCTTAGAAAGTAACAATAATAGTAATAAGCAAAGTTTTTGAAAGATCTTATAAATAATTGAATTTCTGTTAAGGCTGGATTCTGCTGCCATTTATCTGATGTTTAACTAAAATTCTCTTTCTCTATATCCCTAGAGGATATTCCACTCGGCAGCATGCAAATCATAATATTTAAAAGCATGTCTCACTAATAAAACACTAGTCTTTGAATAAAACTTATTCAAGATCAAATACTGAAACTAAATTGCATAAATTCATTTATGACAACAAAGAGTCCACTCACGGCTGGTCCGAGCTCGCTGGACCTTTTAAAGTTCCCTCCTGCGAGTCAACTGGTGCCTGAGTGCCTGATTCAAATACCATAATAAAATATATTAATAAAACTGCTCGGTATAAATATTTAAATAAAACCCTGACCCCCGGCTTCTAGAAGTGCGTGCATCAATTTAAAGTTATTCATATGCCCACATTACGTTCCTTTAATCCTAGGACATTCGTCCCGTGGATCTGGTTTCGATCGGACGATTAGATTCGTCACGATTTCGGAGTATCCGGAACTCCGATTCATGATCCGTTGAATCCTACACAATCCTGGCAAGGTCTAGATTAACATATCTGAAAGTGATCACGACGCAACGGTTCGAAACCATTGAACCCGAATAACGCACACTATGTAAAAGTCCGCTTAACACTCGAACGACGTCCGAATTGAGATCCTTGAATTTCTACACACTCGTGAGAATACGAGGATCATTTTGAAACTGAGAGTGGTCCCCTACAGACTGCCCACGCGCTGGCAGCTTAGGTGGCTTGAGCAATTTCCGGTGGCCGGAAAAACTCCAAACGGCCGGCCCAAACTCCTAACTTAGGTAAAACACCCAATTTGGAACCACTTTTGTTCTTGGACCAACACCAAAAAGTGGCCGGAATCCTACCCTCAAAACCGGCTGAAACTTAAGTTGAGAATCAAACGATCTACGCTTGAAATTTCTAAAATCCTACCCAACCAGCAGCTAAGTCATGAAAAATGGGTAGGAATCCATACCTTGATCGTCCGATTTGGTAGCCGGACGACGGAGATCGAAAGCTTGGAAATTCTGTCAAAACCGGCAACTTCCTTTGAGTTTTCCGGCGGTTTCGCTGCGGCTGGCGTCGGACTAGGCTGGGTTAGGTAGAGGACATCGATACGAAACTTTTGCAACAAATTTCACTCAAAATGGATACCGGATGGCAACGAAATCATCACTTGAAGGTGAGTGTGTGCGGAGAGAGAGAGAGAGAAAACTAGAAATCTGGTTTCTCTCGCGAGGAAGAAGGAGAAATAGAGACCTGGTTACTGCAGTGATACTGTAGCACCAACAAACTTTAAAATTCCCACTACGTCCTTTTGGTTTCTAGACCTTTCCTCCTTCGTTACAGCTCAGAATCGAGCATGCCGCATGTCTACGAACTCGTTTCATCGCGCTCTACGCAACGGTGCAAACGAGATTCCCAGATTCTTTTCCAGTCAAAAAGTCAACTTCTCAATTACTAAAATAGTCTAAGAACAAAAGTGTCATTTTCCCTTAATAAACTAATAGTTAAATATTAATTAAGGTTTGGGTTATTACAATCTCCCCCTCTTATAAAAATTTCATCCTCGAAATTTACGTACCTGTCACTCGAAGAGGTAAGGGTACTGTTCCCGCATTTGGTCCTCGGGTTCCCATGTAGCCTCTTCCACAGTATGACTTCTCTACAAGACCTTCACAAGAAGGATCTCTCTCGATCGTAACAGTTGCATCTTCCAATCCAAAATCTGAACTAGTTGCTCCACATAAGTCAAATCTTCTTGCAACTCTATTGGTCGTTCTTCCAAGACATGAGAAGGATCAGACATATACTTTCGAAGCATTGAAACATGAAACACATCGTGTAACCGGGAAAGATCTGAAGGCAAAGCAAGCCTGTAAGCTACTGGGCCAACACGCTCCACTATCTTATAAGGCCCAATATAGCGAGGACTTAGTTTTCCCCGCTTTCCAAATCTCATTATGCCCTTCCAAAGTGATAACTTCGGAAATACCCAATCACCAACCTTAAACTGAAGGTCTTTCCTTCTATTGTCCGCATAACTCTTCTGTCGGTCTTGGGCTGCCTTGAGTCGTTCTCTAATTATTTTCACCTGTTCCTTTGTCCGTTCAACATCATCGGACACCTCCAATCTGTTCTCACCCACTTCATCCCAATAGAATGGAGTTCTACATTGTTTCCCATACAAGGCATCATATGGGGACATCTTAATACTCGCCTGGTAACTATTATTATAGGCAAATTCCATAAGTGGCAACTTCTCATCCCAGTCACCCCGGAACTGCAGTGCGCAAGCTCTCAGCATGTCTTCTAAAGTCTGGATTATCCTCTCAGATTGACCATCTGTCTGGGGGTGAAATGCAGTACTAAACCGCAATTGAGTTCCAAAAGCTTCATTTAACCTCGCCCAAAAACGGGAAGTAAACCGTGGATCTCTATCTGAAATAATAGATACTGGCACTCCATGAAGTCTCACTATCTCATCTATGAAGATCTTGGCCAACTTATTTAGGGTGTAGTTTGCTCTCACTGGTAGAAAATGAGCGGATTTAGTGAGTCGATCCACGATTACCCAAACTCCATCATGCTTATTTTGTGTTCGGGGAAGCTTGAACACGAAATCCATGGTAATATGCTCCCATTTCCATTCAGGAATTGGAAGTGGTTGCAACAACCCTGATGGTTTCTGCCGTTCAGCTTTCATTTGCTGGCAAATTAAGCACTTATTGACATATTCTGCTATCTCTTTCTTCATAAAAGGCCACCCGTAATGCTCTCTCAAGGTATGATACATCTTAGTGCTTCCAGGATGCATTGCAAAAGCTGAACTATGAGCCTCCTCAAGAATTTCCCTTTTTAAGGCTTGATCATTAGGGACATATAGCCTGGTTCCCACCATTAAAGCTCCATCATTTCTTACTGAACAGTCATTTCTGTCACCATTCTCCACCTCTAATCGCAATGTGCAAATCAAAGGATCCTGGGATTGGGCGGCGACAATTAGCTCCACTAGTACTGGTCTCACATGGAGAGTAGCTAACAATGCTCCCTGATCATCCACACTTAGTTCAACTCTGAGCTTCCTCATCTCCACCATAATTGGCACATATCTCCCTCTGAAATAAGCTATAGATCTTGGGGATTTTCTGCTGAGTGCATCAGCTACAACATTAGCTCTTCCCGGATGATGCTAATAGTACAATCATAATCTTTAATCAACTCTAGCCATCTTCTTTGCCTCAAATTCAGCTCCTTTTGAGTGAATAAGTACTTTAAACTTTTGTGATCTGTAAAAATCCAGCAAGTTTCTCCATAAAGATAGTGTCACCAAATCTTCAAGGTAAAAACCACTGCAGCTAACTCCAAATCATGAACAGGGTAATTCAACTCATGCTTCTTAAGTTGCCTAGAAGCATAAGCGATCACCCTACCATGCTGCCTTAGCACACAACCAAGTCCCTGTTGGGATGCATCATTGTAGATAACGAAGTTCCCGCTATCATCTTGAAGTGCTAAAACCGGAGCAGTGGTCAACCTGGTCTTGAGTTCATTGAAGCTCTCCTCACACTCATCTGACCATTCAAACTTCAATCATTTCCTTGTCAAACGAGTAAAAGGCGCTGCTATAGCAGAAAACCCTTCCACGAAAACTCCGTACCTCCGTAACACTAGTTGGTTGTGGGCAGTTCACTACTGCCTCAATCTTCTGGGGATCAACATAAATACCCTCTGCAGAGATCACATGCCCCAAGAAACTAACTCTGTCCAACCAGAACTGGCATTTACTCAATTTGGCATACAACTGCCTCCTCCTCAAAGTCTTCAGCACAATTTCCAAATGTTTCATGTGTGCCTTCTGACTCTTGGAATACACCAGAATGTCGTCTATGAACACAATCACAAAACGATCCAAGTAACGTCGGAACACCCTGTTCATGAGATCCATAAACGCAGTGGGCGCATTCGTCAACCCAAATGGCATCACCAAGAACTCATAGTGCCCATATCTCGTTCGAAAAGCTGTCTTAGGCACATCCTCTTCTCTAATCCGTAACTGATGATACCCAGATCTTAGATCAATCTTAGGGAATACCTTGGCACCCTTTAACTGGTCGAACAAATCATCAATGCGAGGCAAAGGATACTTATTTCGCACTGTGACCTTGTTCAACTGTCTGTAGTCAATACATAACCTCATGGTTCCATCCTTCTTCTTAACAAATAACACTGGAGCGCCCCAAGGTGAAAAACTAGGTCGGATGAAACCTTTATCTACCATCTCCTGCAACTGAGTCTTTAATTCCCTCAACTCTGCTGGTGCCATTCTATATGGTGCTTGAGAGATAGGATTCGTTCCTGGAACGAGCTCAATGGTGAACTCGATCTCCCGGTGAGGAGGTAGCCAGGAAGATCCTCAGGGAATACATCCGGAAACTCTTGTACCACTGGAACATCTTCCAATCTCAGCCCTTTATCTCTGGTATCAATCACATGTGCTAAATATCCTGAGCACCCTTTTCTGAGCAACCGTTTGGCCGTCACAGCTGAGATGAGGCAAGATGGAAGCACTCTGCGCTCGCCATAAAATGTCACTTCAGGTCGTCCGGAACTATGAAAAACAACCTCTTTTTAGAAACAATCTACTAAGAGATGATGTCTGGCTAACCAATCCATCCCTAGAATGACATCCAAGTCAACCATTTCCAAGGGAATCAAATCTGCCTCCAGAAATACATCTCCCACTAACACTATACTATCTCGATACACCGTACCAACCTTAAAAATTTCTCCTGTAGGCACAGAGATCACTAGTTCGTTCCGTAAGGCTGAAAGTCTTACATTAGCATTGTGGGCGAAACTAGGTGTAACAAAGGAATGCGTAGCCCCAGGGTCAATCAAAACTCTAGTAGGAACTCCAAAAACTGGTAAAATACCTGTGATCACGTCGGGTGACGCCTGCGATTCCTGCTGGCACATACTGTACACCCTGCCTGTGGCTCTGGAACATCCACCACGTCCCCTCTGTAGACTGCCACCTCTGCTAGCAACACTGGTTTGGGCCCCAGCACTAGACGAGGCCCCTCCAAAAATACCACCTCTGCCTGTGGCCATGAGTCGATGCAACTGTAGTCTCTCCACCCTGTAGAAACATTGGGCACTCCCTCAGAAAATGTCCAGGCTAACCGCAGTGGTAACACCCAGTGGTGCCCTATCGGCAAGTCCCAGAATGGTACCTACCACACTAAGCACACTGAGTACAATTCTTCCTGCCAGTACCTCTGGTTGAACTGCCCCTGGAGTGGCTCCCAGAACTACCACTCTGATTGGAACCTCCGCTAGAACTGGCTCCGAGTCCGAAACCTCCATAACTACGGCCACTAGATGACCCCAAGCTATAACTGCCTCTCTTGGACGACCCCTGACCAGGACCACCCATGTCAAATTGTCTCCTGCGAGGGTCACCCCGCGCTCTGACCATCATCTGACTGCTCTCTATCAGCGAAGCAGACATCACCAAATCCCCAAAGTTAGTCAGCCGCTGACTAATCACAATGTCTCAGATGGAGGCCTTCAACCCTCTGGTAAATAACTGGCATTTCTTATTCCCGTCCTCAACTAATGGAAGGCAGTACTTAGACAACTCATTGAACTTTTTCTCATACTCAAGTACTGTCATCGCTCCCTGTTCCAGCTGCAGAAACTCTTACATTTTCAAATTCTGGTAAGCCAGTGGATAATACTGACTATCAAATGCGGCTCGAAATAATTGCCAAGTGATGGCCGATGGATCCCGATATCTCCTTTTAACTGATTCCCACCAATGTCTAGCATTTCTGACCAAAAAGAATGTGCCTAGGGCTACTCTGTGATTCTGGGGAACCCTCATCACTTCCATGATTCGCTCCATCCTTTCTATCCATTCCTCAGCCACTGTTGGATCACCATCACCATCAAAATCTGTGCCCCTATTCTCTTAGCTTGATCAGCATATCCCAGGGAGGGATCTCGGGTCTGCTCGATCCTGGATAGAGCCTGAGTCAACAACTCTAAAGTCTGCTGGAAGTTGGGATCTAACGGCATAGTGGGCACGGTCGGAGCAGCCCTGATGGACCTCCAACAAAATACTGCTCTACCGATTCTGGCACCGGTGTAGGAATGGGGATTTCCTCTTGCTCGGGCAGGGGATCCTGTCCCCTAACTCGGGACGATTGTCTGGTCCCTCTACGGAAGCCACCTCACTTAGGGCCCATGCTTACTATCACAAGAAACAGATGTTCAGTAAAATGGAATACACGAAGTGCGGAGTCTACAGGAAGTTAAACCTAATGCTCTGATACCAAGTTGACAGGACCCGACCCAAATTCCACTTTGGAATCCGAGCTGAACCCTGTTCGTGATCGACACCTGGCGGGTGCCGAGCACAATTGACTTGGTTGCCCTTTTTTTGATTAGGAACTTAATTCCCTTAAATCCTGACTTCTACCGAAAATTCGGCAGAGTCTCCCCTATAAGTACTCGTGGCATTCCAAATCTTGCAAATATGTTAGTTTTAATAAAATCTGCAACCACTTTGGAATCATTGATACGGGTCGCTTTTGCTTCCACCCATTTCGAAACATAATCCACAGCAAGTAAGATATAATTAAAACCATGTGAAGAAGGAAAAGGGCCCACGAAATCAATACCCCAAACATCAAAAATCTCAACAGAAAAGATAGGGGTTTGCGGCATTTGATCTTTTGCACCTATATTGCCCGTTCTTTGACAACGATCACAAGTCATACAAAAAGTTCTAGCATCCTTAAAGATAGTAGGCCAATAAAATCCACATTCTAAAACCTTAAGTGCTGTGCGTTGTGTACCAAAGTGACCCCCACATGCATAAGTGTGACAGAAGGTTAAGATTGAATTAAACTTAGAATCATCCACACATCTACGAATAATTTGATCAGGGCAATATTTCCACAAATAAGGGTCATCCCACACATAAAACCGTGCAATTTTTTTAAGTTTATCGCGTTGGTGCCTAGTTATGGTGCTTGGAACTTGTTTAGACACAATATAATTCACAATATCAGCATACCATGGCTCACTTACCTCAATGGTCAACAATTGTTCATCTGGGAATGCCTCTGGAATAGGTAGAAGGTCTTCTTCATGTACCAAACGGCTCAAGTGGTCAGCCACTACATTTTCACATCCTCTTTTGTCCCTAATTTCCACATCAAACTCCTGAAGAAGAAGCATCCAGAGAATAAGCCTTGGTTTGGCTTCTTTCTTTGTGAGTAAGTACTTCAAAGCTGCATGGTCAGAGTAAATTATAACTTTAGTACCAACAAGTAAATAAGAACGAAACTTATCTAAAGCAAACACAACAACAAGAAGTTCTTTTTCAGTGGTGGAGTAATTCAATTGAGCATCATTCAAGGTTCGAGATGCGTAGTAGATGACTTGTGGCTTCTTGTCCTTCCGTTGTCCCAAAACAGCCCCTAAAGCATAATCTGAAGCATCACACATAAGCTCAAAGGAAGGCTCCAATCTGGTGGAACAATGATAGGTGCCGAAGTTAACAATTCTTTGAGGTGATTGAACGCCTTCTCACATTCGTCATCAAACACAAACGGCACATCCTTTTGTAGAAGTCGGCACAAGGGTGTTGAAATCTTCGAGAAATCTTTGATAAAACGTCTATAGAATCTTGCATGTCCAAGGAAAGAACGAACCTCTCTCACCGAAGTGGGAGAGGGTAAGTGGCGTACAAGACCTATTTTTGATTTATCAACTTCAATTCCCTTTTCTGAAACTATATGTCTTAAAACTATGCCTTGTTTTACCATGAAGTGACATTTTTCCCAATTTAAAACAAGGTTGGTTTCAATGCAACGTTTTAATATCAACGTGAGATTAGTTAAACAGCCATCAAAAGAGTCACCAAAGACACTAAAATCATCCATGAAAACCTCAATAATCTTCTCAACGAAATCGGAAAAGATACTTACCATGCATCTTTGAAAGGTGGCTGGTGCATTACATAAACCAAATGGCATTCGTCGATAAGCAAAAGTACCAAACGGACAAGTAAAAGTAGTCTTTTCTTGGTCATCTGGGGCTATAACAATCTGATTATATCCCGAATAGCCATCAAGAAAGCAATAAAAAGAATGACCGGCTAACCTTTCAAGCATTTGATCAATGAACGGCAAAGGGAAGTGATCTTTCCTTGTGGTGGCGTTAAGCTTCCTATAATCAATGCAAACTCTCCAACCTGTTTGGATACGAGTGGGGACAAGTTCATTCTCTTCATTTTTTACCACAGTAACTACTGATTTCTTTGGTACAACTTGAACCGGTGAAACCCAACGACTATCCGAAATTGGGTAAATGACCCCACAATCAAGAAGCTTAATGATCTCCTTTTTCACAACTTCCATCATTGGAGGGTTGAGTCGGCGTTGAGCCTCTCGAGTTGGTTTAGCCCCCTCCTCTGGAAGTATGCGATGCATGCATGTTGTAGGACTAAGTCCCTTGATTTCGGCTAAAGTCCATCCAATGGCTGTTTTTTACTCTTGCAACACCCGAACTAGTTTTTCCTCCTCCACTGCCATGAGTGATGAAGAGATTATGACGGGCAAAGTCTCTTTATCTCCCAAGAAGACATACTTCAAATGATTCGGTAACGGTTTAAGCTCGAGAGTGGGTGCCTGAATCACCGAAGGTAACAACTTGTTAGTAGAAATGGGAATTGGGATTGGGATTGGAGACTTACCAACATATTGTGGCAGTGACTCAAGGGTAGCCACCATCTCGCCAATTTCTTCATGATTACGTTCGGCCCCATTTTTTATGAGTTCAATTCCTTGAACAATGGTGGTTTCAAGGACATCCCTATCTAGGTATTCGAGATATTCCTGCGCCAAAGAATCAAATGCATCAATAGAGAAACACGAGTGATCATCAACAGGGTACCTTATAGCTTCAGAAATATTGAAATCAATGATATCGCCATCAAATTCCATTGTCAACGTCCCCTTGAACACATCGATCTTGGTTCGGGCTGTTTTCATGAAAGGTCATCCAAGTAAGATTGGCAATGGTGTAGAATGGGCCGAATCCTCCATCTCAAGCACATAAAAATCTGCTGGAAATATCAAGTGGTTAACCTGCACCAAAACATCTTCCAAAACTCCTTTCGGATATGTATTAGAACAATCGGCTAATTAAATTATAACGCCATCATTTTTAAGCTCTCCTAAGTTCATAGATGCATAAATAGAGTATGGCATGACATTAATGGAAGCACCTAAATCTAACATGGCATGTTCAAACTTGGTGTTACCAATAACACAAGGGATTGTGAAACTACCTGGATCTTTGCATTTAGGTGGCAGTTTTCATTGCAAAATTGCGAAAACATTCTCACTTACCCTTACCACTTCTTTGTTTGAAATCCTCCTCCTTGTTGTACAAAGCTCTTTCAAGAATTTAGCATACCTTGGCACTTGCTTTATTGCGTCAAGAAGTGGGATATTAACTTGTACCTTCCTGAAAGTCTCTAAGATGTCTTTTCATTCTCTTCTTTCTTAGATTGCATAAACCTGCGAGGGAAAGGCACATTTGGTGGGATAGGGTTAGAATAAGTTGAATTTGGAACAACCTTACCTGAGTTTGGTTGTGTAGGAGCTTTGGGGGACTGCAGCAAGGGTTGTTCCTCCCTTGTCGTGGCTTTGTCCACCTCCTTCTCTTTGAGCAGCAACTTTTCGTTCTCTTTTGAGCTTTGTTTGGACATTTTGGGATTAGTTCCAATCTCTTTACCACTCCTCAAGATGATAGCTTTAGCCGTCTCAAAACCTCCTTTTGGATTGACAATGGTTGAGCTAGGTAGTTTGCCTTCTTCTCTAAACTGTCCCATGAATTTCGCCATCTGCCCAATTTGCTTCTTCACTTCGCTCATCTCTTTGGCTTGATTTTGTAAACCCTGAGTCAAAGAAGTTAGTACTTGAAGCATTTTATCATTATCCAATGGCGAACCTGAATTTGATTGGGCAGTTTGTGGTTGATGTTGTGCTGGTGCGAACGGCCTTTGATAGAGCCCCGGAGGTGGCTGTCTATATCCGCCTTGTTGTTGTTGAGGCTCCCTCCACTTCAAATTTGGATGATCTCTCCAGCCCGGATTGTAGGTGTTTGAAAATGGGTCATACCTAGGTTGATTTTGGCCTTGATAACCTACGGCATTGGCACTTTCCCATCCCCCATTCTCTATTAATTGAGGACATTGATCAGTGGGGTGTCCATGCATAGAGCACACGCTACAAGTGGCTGTACTTTGCACTTTGGATCCTTCAACAACTTGCGAAATAAGAGTAGAGAGATTAGCCATTTGAGATTGAAGTTCCGAAATAGCACTTACCTCATTAACTGGACTTGGCCGTGTATGATCTCTCCCTCCAACTCCTTCGTATTGTTGTGCATTCAAAGCTCGGTTTGCTATTAAGATCTTCGCAGCAACTGGTGTTTTGTCAACCAAAGCACCTCCCGCTGAAGCATCAAACATTTGTCTCTCCAATGGAAGTAGTCCTTCATAGAAATATTGAATTAAAAGCTCTTCCTTCATTTAATGTTGTGGGCAGGATGCAACTAACGTCTTAAAACGCTCATAGTACCCTGGAAAGGATTCTCCCGGGCCTTGTTGAATTCCACTAATTTTCTTCCTCAAAAGAATGACTCTTGAAGTTGGGAAGAATTTCTCTAAGAATGCTTTCTTCATACTTTCCCAAGAAGTAACGGTTCCAGGTGCTAGTTCATAGAGCCAATCTTTAGCCTTGTCCATAAGAGAGAATGGGAAGGCTTTCATCTTCAAAATATTCCCATCCACGTTAATGGGTGTCATACTTGAACATACTACTTCAAATTCCTTCAAATGCTTGTTTGGATCTTCCATGGACAGCCCATGGTATTTGGGAATGTGATGTAGCAAACTCGACTTCAATTCAAACTCATCGGTCTTACCTACAGCTGCCCTAGGGTATTGAATGCAAAGAGGGATTGCAGTGTCCAATCCAGAGGCTGAAAGTTCCTTGATTGTTCAATTGTCTACAGCCATGTCTTGTTCCTCTTCCAAGTCCACTTCAGCTTCAGATTCAGGTTCGGAACTAGAATTAGAGGGATTGAGTTCTGGCTGCTTCCTCTTCCTTCTTAAAGTTCGTTCGAAATCGTCGTCAAAGTCCAATATGTGCGCACGAACAGGGTGTGAACTTCGAGTCATAAACTAGTACCTAAAACAAAGAAAACAAAGAAAACAAAACAAAACAAAATCAGAAACACAAGAAAAACGAAAACAAACGGAAGATTAGCAATTTTACCAATCCCCGGCAACGGCGCCAAAATTTGGCGTGAGAAATAACTAACGCACAAATTAAACCCTATAAATCATGCAATCGTAGTACGAGTAAGTAGGGATTGTTCTATTCCGGGGATTAGGAGGGATGCTAATCAACACAAATTAAACTTATTAAATTGGAAACTAAGTTAAGGGAACAATGATTGGGGGAATTCTGACGATTTAGACTAAAGTAAGACTGACAGCAGCAAACAACTAAGTTGTGAATGAAATATGGATTAAGGGATAGCTAGAGGATTCTTCTCCACACATGGAACATATGCACACAAATCGATCTCCAGTTACTCTTTCTATAAAGTATGAATGACAAAGCCCCAAATTAATTGTGAATGCACTAATTAACTTTCAGATTTTCCTAAGTTCATTGAATTGGACTCAGCGACGCAATCAAATTATCCTTATCAAGTTCCCTATATGAACAGCATGATAGAGATACATATCAAAGATCATTAAGTTCTATGAAAATCATAAGCCTTGACAAGGCATTTGTAACTATGAAAAGCATGATACTCCTGCCAGGAATTTACTTAACGCAATCTTGACTAGTGACTTTTACTACTTGTGAAAATAAGTTCATAACGATTAGGTGAAATTCCTTTATATTCTAGCATCAAATCCCTGCATGCAAACTAAGTATGCATCCTTAATAAACATACAAGAATAAGTTCTCAATAAAACAGAAAAGTAAATCACATGCATACTTTACGAAACCATAACTGGGAGTAATCAATTCATATAAAACATATGTCCATGGCTTCGAATTCACCTCTAACTAAGAAGAAATTCAATCACACATGTTCATAATAATTGAAAAGCAATCTAGAATAAACATTTGAACTAATCAAGGGAAGAACTCTGAAAAACCCAATGGATGCAGCAGGTTCCGGCTCCAAGTTCTTCTTCTCCCTTTCTCCTTTCTTGCTACGGCACCAAAAGAACTCCCTTCTCCTGCGGCAACCCCTCCTTTATATATGTGGTAGATCTAGGGTAAAAGGGCCTAGCAGAAACCCACGAAATTAGGGTTTTGTTTGGCAGATTTCTTTAGGAATTATAGGGCCCAGCAGAAACCCATGAAATTAGGGTTTTAGGTTTCCTAATCTGAAATTAATCCCCCCCTTTTCCAGCTGGAATTTAGGTCGAATAGGATTAGGATAAGGTAAAATAAAATAAAATCAGTTAGGGTTTTTTACTTCCCAGAAGCTTATTCTTGAATTAATTTCCCCATCTTTTTAGCACATTCCTAGCCTCTTCGAACTTCAAAAACGTCCATCCATCTTGGCCCATGCATATGCTATCCATTCCAAGTCCAAAACTGCTCTAAAATGCTCCAAAATGCCCTTTCTTGCCAATCTTGCCATCTGGACCTACAATAGTACGAAAATAAGCTAAATCACTCTAATAAATGGGAATTAACAAAGTAAATGCAAAGAAATAAGATAGCAAAGTCTCATAAATATGCTCCTATCATCTACCGGTTCTGGCACCGGTGTAGGAATGGGGATTTCCTCTTGCTCGGGCAGGGGATCCTGTCCCCTAACTCGGGACGACTGTCTGGTCCCTCTACGGAAGCCACCTCGTTCAGGGCCCATGCTTACTGTCACAAGAAACAGATGTTCAGTAAAATGGAATACACGAAGTACGGAGTCTATAGGAAGTTAAACCTAATGCTCTGATACCAAGTTGACAGGATCCGACCCAAATTCCACTTTGGAATCCGATCCGAACCCTGTTCGTGATCGACACCTGGCGGGTGCCGAACACAATTGACTTGGTTGCCCTTTTTTTGATTAGGAACTTAATTCCCTTAAATCCTGACTTCTATCGAAAATTCGGTAGAGTCTCCCCTGTAAATCGAACGTTCCCAAAATGTACACCTGTCAACAAGCACTTAAATATATACACCAACTGCCAGTATACAAAAATAAGTATGTTCCAACAGTTAAATACGTTCCAGGGCAATATCAAAGCAACTATACAGATTTATTTACGAATGAGGTAACCGCTAGTGCACCAAGGAATCCTACATCAAAATGTTGAAGAGCGGGAAGCGGGAAATGCCCTGTGGTGGCTCTCGGATGCACGTCTACAGCCTGGGGGCGCAAAACATTAAAAAGGTGAGTGGACCCAAAAACAAAGTTTAGAAAATATATATGAGTGGACCCCACTGTAAAAGCAGTTATAAAAACTAAATCATTGTCTTCTGTATATGCGTACTGAAACCAATGCACTCATATATACATATATAAATATGCCAATCATGCTCATGGTCAACATCAATCTCTTAAAAGCATTGAAATCAGTTTAAAACTACCACCTAGGTGTACCCTTTTGTTTCCGTCAATTCCACATATGCCGTCAATTCCCTCGTATCACCATTGGTGACACGTCCTCGCAGGTCTCAGTGGCACAAAGTCAATCCGAGCCGCAACCTCGCAAGATTCAAGGGACCTTGGTCAACCTAATCCGCGTCCTCGCTCCACACGAGTCCGGGTACCATAGAACTCGTTAGGCAGCTGTCAAGCATGCTGACTAAACCGAAGGCAACTGATAAAATCCGAAGGCAACCTGGATGTCCGTGGACATCATCATATCCGAAGGCAACATCTGTATATCTGGGTACCTAGGGTGGCATAAAAAGTAACAATAATAGTAATAAGCAAAGTTTTTGAAAGATCTTATAAATAATTGAATTTCTGTTAAGGCTAGACTCTGCTGCCATTTATCTGATGTTTAACTAAAATTCTCTTTCTCTATATCCCTAAAGGATATTCCACTCGGCAGCATGCAAATCATAATATTTAAAAGCATGTCTCACTAATAAAACACTAGTCTTTGAATAAAACTTATTCAAGATCAAATACTGAAACTAAATTGCATAAATTCATTTATGAAAACAAAGAGTCCACTCACGGTTGGTCCGAGCTCGTTGGACCTTTGGAAGGTACCTCCTGCGGGTCAACTGGTGCCCGAGTGCCTGATTCAAATACCATAATAAAATATATTAATAAAACTGCTCAGTATAAATATTTAAATAAAACCCTGACCCGCGGCTTCTAGAAGTGCGTGCATCAATTTAAAGTTATTCATATGCCCCCATTACGTTCCTTTAATCCTAGGACATTCGTCCCATGAATCTGGTTTCGATCGGACGATTAGATTTGTCACGATCACACGATCGACGATTCTAAATCTTTAACCCTAGGGTTCGCGATTTCGGAGTATCCGAGACTCCGATTCATGATCCGTCGAATCCTACACAATCCTAGCAAGGTCTAGATTAACATATCTGAAAGTGATCACGACCGAACGGTTCGAAACTATTGAACCCGGATAACGTACACTATGTAAAAAGTCCGCTTAACACTCAAACGACGTCCGAATTGAGATCCGCGAATTTCTACACGCTCGTGAGAGTGGTCCCCTCCAGACTGCCCATGCGCCGCCACACGCGCTGGCAGCTTGGGTGGCTTGAGAAATTTCCGGTGGCCCGAAAAACTCCAAACTGCCGGCCCAAATTCCTAACTTAGGTAAAACACCCAATTTGAACCACTTTTGTTCTTGGACCAACCCCAAAAAGTGGCCGAAAGTGGCCGGAATCCTACCCTCAAAACTGGCTGAAACTTAAGTTGAGACTCGAACGATCTACGCTTGAAAATTCTAAAATCCTACCCAACCAGCAGCTAAGTCACGAAAAATAGGTAGGAATCCATACCTTAATCATCCGATTTGGTAGATGGACGACGGAGATCGAAAGCTTGGAAATTCTGTCAAAACTGGCAACTTCCTTCGAGTTTTCCGGCGGTTTTGCTGTGGCTGGCGTCGGAACTGCGTTACGTAGAGGACATCGATACGAAACTTTTGCAACAAATTTCACTCAAAACGGATACCGGATGGCGACGAAATCATCACTTGAAGGTGAGTGTGTGCGGAGAGAGAGAGAGAGAGAAAACCAGAAATCTGGTTTCTCTCGCGAGGAAGAAGGAGAAATAGAGACCCGGTTACTGTAGCGATACTGTAGCACCGACAAACTTTAAAATTCCCACTACGTCCTTTTGGTTTCTAGACCTTTCCTCCTTCGTTACAGCTCAGAACATGTCTACGAACTCGTTTCGTCGCGCTCTACGCAACGGTGCAAATGAGATTCCCAGATTCTTTTCCGATCAAAAAGTCAACTTCTCAATTACTAAAATAGTCTAAGGGCAAAAGTGTCATTTTCCCTTAATAAACTAATAGTTAAATATTAATTAAGGTTTGAGGTATTACATCCAATCTCTAGAACTATGCAATCCACCAATCCCTCCATTTCTGAACGAACATCGTACGAACCTGAATTGTTCGATTTGATGGACCAATCGATATCAGACTGAGTCCAAAACTTGGGGAACATCAAAATACAGTGGAAGGAGCCATTTGGTGGGTTTTGATTGAAATCCAATGGCTACGAATTTGCAATACACCAAGCACTCCATACCAGAACGAATTTCGTACGAACCTGAATTGGTCGATTTCATGGATCAGTCGATATCGGGTTGAGTCCAAAAGTTGGGGAACAACAAAATATGGTGGGAGGAGTCATTTGGCTGGTTTTGAGTGAAATCCAATCTCTAGAACTACGCAATACACCAACTAATACATTTCAGAACGAAATTTGTACGAACCTGAATTGTACGATTTCATGGACCAATCGATATGTGATTGAGTCCAAACATCATAATATGGTGGGAGGAGACTTTTGAGTCGAAAATTTGGGGAACATCAAAATATGGTGGGAGGAGTCAATTGGTTGTTTTGATTGAAATCCAATGGCTAAAACTATGCAACAAACCAACATTCCATTTCAGAACGAACTTCGTACGAACCTGAATTGTCCGATTTCATGGACCAATCGACATCGTATTGAGTCCAAAACTTGGGGAACAACATAATATGTTGGGAGGAGTCATTTGGTGGGTTTTGATTGAAATCCAATGGCTAAAACTATGCAATACACCAAGCACTCCATTTCAAAACGAACTTCGTACGAACCTGAATTGTCCAATTTCATGGACCAACTGATATCGGATTGTGTCCAAAACTTGGGGAACATCATAATATGTTGGGAGGAGTCATTTGGTGGGTTTTTATTAAAATCCAATGGCTAAAACTATGCAATACACCAACTCCATTTCAGAACGAACTTCGTACGAACCTGAATAGTCCGATTTCATGGACCTCTCGATATCGGATTGAGTCCAAAACTTGGGAACAACATAATATGGTGGGAAGAGTCATTTGGTGGGTTTTGATTGAAATCCATTGGCTAAAACTATGCAATACACCAACATTCCATTTCGGAACGAACTTCCTACGAACCTGAATTGTCCGATTTCATGGACCAATCGATATCGGATTAAGTCCAAAACTTGGGGAACATCATAACATGGGGGAGGAGTCATTTGGTGGTTTTGAGTGAAATCCAACGGCTAAAACTATGCAATACACCAACCACTTCATTTCAGAACAAACTTCCTACGAATTTGAGTTGTCCGATTTCGTGGACCAATCGATATCGGATCGAGTCCAAAACTTGGGGAACACCATAATATGGTGGGACGAGTCATTCGGTCGGTTTTGAATGAAATCCAATCTCTAGAACTATGTAATACCCCAACCACTCCATTTCAGAACGCACTTCCTACGAACCTGAATTCTCCGATTTCATGGACCAATCGATATCGGATCGAGTCCAAAACTTGGGGAATATCATGACATGGGGCGAGGAGTCATTTAGTGGATTTTGAGTGAAATCCAACGGCTAAAACTCTGCAATACACCAACCACTCCATTTCATAATAAACTTCCTATGAACCTGAATTGTTAGATCTCATGGACCAATCGATATCGGATTGAGTCCAAAACTTGGGGAACATCATAAGATGGTGGGACGAGTCATTTGGTGTATTTTGAGTGAAATCCAATGGCTAAAAGTATGAAATACACCAAACACTCCATTTCAAAACGGACTTCCGACAAACCTGAATTGTCCAATTTTGTGGACCAATCGATATCTGATCGAGTCCAAAACTTGGGGAATATCATAATATGGTGGGACGAGTCATTTGGTTGGTTTTGAGTGAAATCCAATGGCTAAAACTCTGCAATACACCGACCACTCTATTTAAGAACGAACTTCCTACGAACTTGAATTGTCCGATTTCATGGACCAATCGATATCTGATTAAGTCCAAACACTAGAAGAAAACATGCCTTTTGTGAAGAGGGGTAGTCATTACTGAAACATGGAATTTCGTCACAGTTGAGTATATGTGACGTAATTTTAGCGTCACAGCTTTCGTCACCTATACCCCGTCACTGATTCTCCCACGTGACGCTTTCTCACTTCGTCACATATACCTGATATGTGTGACACATACCGCGTCACTGTACGTCAGATTATGTGGCTATCCGTTAGTCACTTGCTACGGCTATTAGTGATGCATGATTTTGGTCACGGTTTAGCTGCATCTGTGAGGAGTTATTCCTCTCCTAAACTTGGTATAAAATGCTCTTCCTATACAATACGTGACCCTTTAGGCGTCACATATTTATGTAGTGTGTGATGACGTGCGCATCACATATTTGTTTAATGTGTGACGATGCACACGTCACATAATTTTGTAGTATGTGACGATGTATACATAAGATGTCTTTTTAATTGTGACGATATTGGCATCACATATTTCTTCAGATTGTGATGAGGTTTGTGTCACACATGTTCCATAACAAGGTACCTAATTATGAATAATATGTGCAAATCCAATCACAATTCTCAATTCTCATCTTTTTCAATGTATAGTATAAAAATAGATAATTGCATTTCCATTAATAAAAGTAGGTAATTACATTGTATGTTCCAAAATAAATATCCCAAACTAAGTCTACACTTTGTACAACCGAAAGTAAGTCTAGAGCAAGTGTGTTCCAAAATAAAGATCCCAAACTAATTCTAGACTTTGTATAACCAAAAGTGAGTGTAGAGCAACTGTGTTTCAAAATAAAGATCTGAAACTAATTCTAGACTTTGTACAACCAAAAGTAAGTCTAGAGAGCAAGTGTATGTTCCATATGGATATAATCCCTAAATCAGTTCTCATCAAGATTCTGGTTTGCTAGTTCATCATAATAGTCATCATCAGAATGGACACCATTACTACCTCTAGAGCTGGTGCTAGTATGACCATGAGATGCAGTCAAAACAGAGCTCAATTGGGCTCTCAAATCTTCATTCTCCTTTTGTAAAGTGATGAGATTTGTTGTTGCTTCCAAATATCCTGTCAACAACAGAACCATAAACTCCAATTTTTCTGGTATTATGATCAAGTAGGTAGTTGTGTGTGTAAATTAAGTTTACCTTGACATTCATCAATTGAACCACCAACTTATGTTTTGACATGAGCTTTTAGAAAACTGTTGTTGCTCCTGCACCACCAGAGAAACTAAACTCAGAAGCTACTGTGTTCGCTCTCAAAATCTGGCGGCATTATCTGTATGGTGAGACGTGTCAGATTTTCACCGATCACAAGAGCCTCAAGTACTTTTTCACTCAGAGGGAGTTGAATATGAGACAGTGGCGTTGGCTGGAATTGATTAAAGACTATGACTGTACGATTGAGTATCATCCCGGTCGAGCTAATGTGGTAGCTGATGCACTAAGTAGGAATGTTGGTGGAAGTCTAGCTCATCTCAGAATGGCCTATCTTCCGTTGTTGGTAGAACTGCGGAAGGATGGTGTGCATGTGAGGCCTATTCTGGTTGAGCGGGTGATTGCAGCACAATTGAGAGATCCTAATCTTTGTGTGATAAGGTCGGAAGTAGAAAATGGTACACGGACGGATTATGCAATAAAGAAGGATGGAGCTTTGGTGACTGGAACTCGTCTTTGTGTACCCAAGAACAATGAAGACTTGAGAAGGGAAATCATGGAAGAAGCTCACTGTTCTACTTACTCTATGCATCCGGGTAGTACTAAGATGTATCGGACTCTACATGAGTACTACTTGTGGCCGCATATGAAGGGGGATATTGCTAAGTATGTGAGCAAGTGTCTGATTTGTCAACAAGTGAAAGCGGAACAGCAGAAACCGTCCGGAATCATGCAACCACTTCCGATCCCTGAATGGAAGTGGGAGCTTATCACAATGGACTTCGTTTTCAAACTCCCACGTACTTCAAAGGGGCATGACGGAATTTGGGTGATAGTTGACCGACTCACCAAGTCCTCCCATTTTCTACCTATAAAGGAAACCTATTCCTTGTCAAGGCTGGCAAAACTCTTTGTGGATGAGATCGTGAGGTTGCATGGAGCTCCTGTGTATATTGTATCGGACAGGGATGCAAGGTTCACATCTCATTTCTGGAAGTGTTTAAATGAGGCTATGGGTACTAAGTTACAGTTTAGTACTGCTTTTCACCCACAGACTGATGGACAGTCGGAAAGAACCATTCAGACCTTGGAAGACATGTTAAGGTCTTGTGTTTTACAACTGAAAGACAGTTGGGATACTCACCTTGCATTGGTGGAATTTGCTTATAACAACAGTTACCATTCGAGCATTGAGATGGCTCCGTATGAGGCTCTGTATGGAAGAATGTGTAGAACTCCTGTTTGTTGGAATGAAGTGGGTGAAAGGAAGTTGGAAAAGGTAGATAGTATCCGAGCCACAACTGAGAAGGTGAAAATGATTAGAGAGAAGTTGAAAACCGCACAAGACCGACAGAAGAGTTATGCGGATAACAGGTCCAAGGATCTTGAGTTTGCAGTTGGAGATTGGGTGTTCTTGAAGCTATCTCCATGGAAGGGTGTGATGAGGTTCGGTAAACGCGGGAAGTTAAGCCCTCGTTATATTGGACCTTATGAGATCACCGAACGCATTGGACCAGTTGCCTATAAACTTGTCTTACCTACAGAACTATCTCGGATCCATGATGTGTTTCACGTATCCATGTTAAGGAAGTACATGCCTGATCCTTCTCATGTTTTAGAGCACCAACCTATGTAGTTGAGTGAAGATTTGACGTACGAGGAGCAATCTGTACAGATCTTGGATAGGAAGGAGCAAAGGTTGCGCTCCAGATCCATTCATGTAGTGAAGGTGTTATGGAGAAGTCAAACTGTTGAAGAGGCTACTTGGGAACCCAAGGCGCAAATGCGAACTGAGTACCCTTATCTCTTCAATTGACAAGTATGTAAATTTTGGGGATGAAATTTTTATAAGGGGGGTAGGTTGTAACACCCCGACTCTATTTAATTTTCCAATTCAAAAGGTTAAAATTAAATTAACTGTGATATTACAAAACTACCCTTGAGGTAGGGTATTTTGGTCATTTTCTTGTCCGGAAGGATTTGGGACCATAAGTGGTTTAGTTGCGTAGGTGGTTCTGAGATGAATTCGTAGACAGGCAGTAGGCTGGAATCGGAGTTATAACGAAGTTTTGGCGATGAAATTTCTTTCGGTGGCAAAATCGTAAATAATTCGAAAAGGGTATTTGTAAAAATCAGATTCTTCAATTTCATTTCACTTTCTCTTTCTCTCTCTCTCCCGTGCGTTCTCTCTCTCTCTCTCCCGCGAACTCTTTCTCGTCACTGTTCATCCGAACGGAAAAATCCACGCCGCCATCACTTCTGGCCACCTCAGCTCTCGAGATTGGTCCCAAAAGCTTCGTCTCGACGTCCTAGTCAAGACCCAATAGTTTTCGTCGCCGGAAAACTTGAGAATAGTCGGCAGTATCGACTGGTTCAAATCGGAGGTTTTCCGATTGTTGCACCACCGTTTCAGTCGTCCTTTTCCGGGGTTAAAGGTGAGAATTCTCCTTCTTTTTATCTGTTCTAGCTGCCTGTTGCTTAGGATTGAAACGATTTTGAGGTTTTGGAAGTTATTTTCGAATTAGGTTTTTGGCCGGTTTTCAATTCGAAATTCCGGCCAGTTCCCGGTGGTTTTGGGCTTGGCCGTAGTTGAATGAAGTGCTCCCCTAGTTGAGTAAGACCTGTAGCCGGGAGGGTGACTTATGATTTGGAGATTTTCCGTCGCCGGAATTTCTCTGCACACCCTCTTGCTGCCGGCGCGTGGGCAAGTGTGGTGGAGCTGCAAACTGTTCCAATGTAATCTTTAAGTTGTCACGAGCACGTAGGATTTCGCGGATCTCGATTCTGAGGTCATCTGACTATCGAACGGATTATCGCATATTGTGCGTTATCCGGGTTCGATATGTTCCGACCGTTGGATCGTTTTCAAATTGAAGTATGTTACTCTAGATACCCGTAGGATCGTGCAGGATTCGACGAATCGTAAAACGGAGTCCTGGATACTCCGGAAATGCCAACCCTAGGGTGAGGGTTTTAGTAACCGTCCAATCATGCGATTGTGAGCAATCTAACCGTCCGTTTCGGACCAAACTTACAGGATGTGTATCCTAGACCTCGTAAAACCTATAGGAACTCCCTGGAAGCTAAGGTTTTATTTTAAAGTTTTGTTTTGAAGCGCTTGATATTCCTCGCATTTTCGTATTCTGAATCAGGTACTCCGACCCAGCATACGCAGCAGGCGGGACCCTCTAAGGGTCAAGCTGTGTGGGACTACTTGTGAGTGGACTTTTCTTTTGAAACTTAGTATGTTTTGATTCATGGAAATATGGCATATTGTTTTATTATGTCTATTAAGTATTTATATACGCTCGAATGGGAATTCGAGGTTTTCATAAAACTTATTATGATATTTAAATTTTGAGAAGCTATTTTTACATGCGGCTATGCATGGGGTACTTGGTGGTTAATACGAACTATGGAAAGGTAATGTTTGATATGTTATTTGGAGTGCGTTAAGCACTAATTTATGTACCTCCCCTGATCTGAATTTGGTTACGGATTTTGGATACTTTTGAAGTTATTAGAACTCAGGACATCCTTGAGGGGATGTTGCTGTGGACCCTGGATTTGGGGTAGTCTGCGCGCGTAGGACTGGTATTTCAGCTGTACAAGCTTTGACTGTGTCGGCTGTACGTGCTGGCTGAGAGTTAGTCCCCCAGTTGGACGGCTCGTTCCCTAGACACATGGTGAATTGAGGAATGGCTCTGCCATGTGGACTAGTCAAACAGTCCCCCGGTTGGATTGTTTCCCCGGTACAATTAAATATACTATTATTATTAGTATTATTATTATTATGTTATATCATATTATTATTATGTATGTATTTGTATATATATATATATATATATATATGAATGAATGTTCTTTCGTTCTATTTCTCGGTAAGGATACTTCCTCGCAGGTCGTAACTTTGAGTACGTTTACGAGAGTCCAATCTCTCGGGACTCTTAAGTTGGGTGATGGGTTTCGTAAACATATACTAATTCTGATGGTTTTGTTATGCTTATGGTTTCATTGCATGTTTTTGATAAAAGTGGGGGTTATAGTACTTTGATTTCACTTGAACTGAACTTGATTTTTTGTCCACTCACAACTTTCTGTTTTGCGCCCCCCAGCCAGTAGCGACTAAGCTCTGCAGTTGAGCCGGACCGGGTGCATCTTGGAACTCGAGTCTTCATAGAGACTCTTGGTGCTTTTTCCTTTCAGTTAAACGGTACTTCGGTTGTATTTTGAATTCCTTAGATATGCTCTGTATCGCCCGCTGAGGGTTTAAATTTGTGAGGCCGGAGACCTTTGTTGTAAATTGTTTTATTGCTTGTAAAGCATGCTGCCAGTTGGTTGTAAGTAACTGTAAATTTTGAATAGGTTGAAGTTTGGGAATGTTCAATTTACAGGGGAGACTTTGCCAAATTTTTGGTAGAAAGTCTCAGTCTTTAGTAAGTGGAACCAGCATCGAGTTGATGTCGGTAATTAGGCGGGGTCCGTCCCATATTTCGAGGAAATTCGGGGCGGGTCTTGTAAAAAATAAGTAAAAATGGGGAGCACACCCCTCTTTCTGCAGTACAACACCAAGTGAACATCCAATTGTCAGTAAGTTGCATTTATTTGCCTTGCAGTTGATGTACACCAGAAACAGAAAGCACAGAGCCAAAAATTGCAGAGACTAAAAGGAAACTAAAGAAACTATCAGACTAAAAGGAAAAAAATTGCAGAGACCAAAGGAACGTGTATTGGAGAAAATGGGTGAAGTGGGTGGCTGAGATTAGAGAACCCAACAAGAGGTCTCAAGTCTGGTTCGAAAATGAAAAATAGAACTAAGCAGAAAAATAAATAAAACAAAATTAAAATTCAAGCACAAAAAACAAAAGAAGTGTAGAGGAGTTGACTTTTACCTCTTTCCCACCGTCCTCTCACCCAACTTTTTCTACAACCAATCAGATGGCCCCTCTTCTAAAAACAAACAGAACCCCCAACTTAATCGATGGTAAAAACCACAATCAAAGAACCTATAATCCACAACAAATAAAAATCAGAAAAATCAGTAGACAAATTAGAGAACATTCGAAAAATAAAAATGAAACATTTAAAGATATATACCTTCAACTGAACCAAAATAATGAAAAGAAAGTACAGAACAGAGAAAGGGTTTCGGTGGGATTTTCTAGGAGAGAGCCAGAGAAACAAGAGAGAGAGAGAGAGAGAGAGAGAGAGAGAGAGAGGCTTGCAGTCTGAGATTGAAGAAAAGGTGGGGTGATGAGTATCAGGGGAAGTTTCCCCATTGTTAGTGGTGGAGGGTGGAAGGAAAGCATTGAGCAGAGAGAGAGAGAGGCGCGGTCTGAGAAGAGATGAGAGAGGATTTGTATTTGGGGGTTAGGGTTGGAGACTATAAAACATGCACCAAACTTAAATTTGGAGGAACAAAAAGAGCGGCACGCAGAAAAAAGAAAAAAAAATTGGGGGAAAAAAAGAGGCTTTCACGGCGTGCATGAAAAGCACGCCATGAATGGAAATAACATTTACAGCGTGCATTAAAAGCACGCCATAAATAGTATTAAATTTTGTTTACTTTTTATGGCGTGCATATTTAGCACGCCATTAATAACAAAAAAAAACAGCATGTAGCAAAGCACGCCATAAAAAATACTAGAAAAAGGTCATTTATGGCGCGCACTAAATGCACGCCATAAAAACTATCCTTTTACGGGGCACAATAGATGCACGCCGTAAATACTTACTTTTCTTGTAGTGATATGAGAGAGAGAGAGAGAGAGAGAGAGAGAGAGAGAGAGAGAGACGCAGTTTGAGAAGAGATGAGAGAGGATTTGGGGTTAAGTGTGAGTTAGGGTTGGAGAGATTATATGAGGGTTAACATGCACCAAACTTAAATTTGGTGAAAAAAAGAGCGGCATGCAAAAAAATTGAGGGAAAACATTTGTGATGCCCTAAAATATTATTTGTGACCCCCCAAGCCTCATAAATAACTGGTGGTCTCTCTTGCCCAAAATCGCCAGACTATTTGTGAGGGATTTGGCCTACCTCCAAAATTGGAGATGTCTTCGTTGTCATATGAGTGACGACTTGATAAATTCGTCACAAATACCTATTATATGTGACGACTTTACAAGCCTCACTTTCTGTAGTGATAGGTGACACTGCCAATCTTCACCGAATAAAATTTATGGGCCTTTGTGACGAATGTGCATTATTCGTCACATTTAGTAAAAAAATTGGGCGCCAATATTTCCCGCTATTTAATATGTGACGACATCAGAATTATAACGTGACGAACATGGAGCGAAAATTTTTCTACGTCCCTTCAAGAAGTTTAGGTGATGACTTGCAAAATTCTCTCACTTATACAAGCCAAATGTGACGAAATTTTCAGCGCCACGTAAAATTTGGTCACAGAAGGCCTATTTTCTTGTAGTGAAAACTTGGGGAACATCATAATATGGTGGGATAGAGTCATTTGGTTGGTTCTAAATGAAATCCAATCTGTAGAACGATGGAGTACACCAACCACTACATTTCAGAACGAACTGCGTACGAACCTGAATTGTCCGATTTCATGGACCAATCGATATCTGATCGAGTCCAAAACTTGGGGAACATCATAATATGGTGGGACAAGTCATTTTGTTGGGTTTGAGTGAAATCCAATGGCTAAAACTATGCAATACACCAACCACTCTATTTCATAACGAACTTCCTACGAACCTGAATTGTCCGATTTCATGGACCAATCGATATCGGATTGAGTCCAAAACTTGGGGAACAACATAATATGGTGGGGCGAGTCATTTGGTTGGTTTTAAATGAAATCCAATTTGCTAAAACTATGCAATACACCAACCACTCCATTTCAAAACGAACCTGAATTGTCCGATTTCATGGACCAATCGATATCGGATTGAGTCCAAAACTTGGGGAACACCATAATATGGTGGGAGGAGTCATTTGGTTGGTTTTGAGTGAAATCCAATGGCTAAAACTATGCAATACACCAACCACTCCATTTCAGAACGAACTTCCTACGAACCTGAATTGTCCGATTTCATGGACCAATCGATATCGGATTGAGTCCAAAACTTGGGGAACAACATAATATGGTGGGAGGAGTCATTTGGTGGATTTTGAGTGAAATCCAATGGCTAAAACTATGAAATAAACCAACCACTCCATTTCAGAACGAACTTCCTACGAACCTGAATAGTCCGATTTCGTGGACCAATCGATATCGGATTGAGTCCAAAACTTGGGGAACAACATAATATGGTGGGAGGAGTCATTTGGTTGGATTTTGAGTGAAATCTGTTGTGTTCCTTCCAAGTGCCAATATATGGTTAGTATAATGGTACAAGTAAGGGTGTCGAACCACAGGGACCGATTGGACCTTTATAAATTACTAGTTTTGAAAGAACCCTAACTAAAAGTGAAAGTGACAAATTGAGAGTAGTTTGTGTTGTAAATGAAAAATAACTTAAAATGCAAGAAGAATGTAGCAGCGAATGAGATATTGATGTAAGAAGAATAGGGATGAGACCAGGGATTTCGAATTCACCATTGCAAAACCAATTCCATGTTTATAAAGTTAAACCGTATTCAACTACCAACCTGTTTCCAGAGTTCGTTTTACATATATATGATCAGCCATATGATGTGTGGTTTTGATCAAATTCTCCTAATCTGCAACCTAATTGGGATGTTCAACTTTGGTTCCAGGTTAAGAGTCATTAGCATGCAAGAAAACGTTAAAGAACCGAAGAAAACACACGGCAGGATGTTTGCATAGCATTCTCTTCATTCATTCACATGTCTACCAAGATTAAGCATGATGTTTACAATAACCTTGACCAGATAATCTGTAGGCAACCCTAATGGTGATCAAACATTAAAATTGACAAACAAATTTAACAATAGATTCAGTGAATGAAACAAGAAACAGATTGATGAACTGAATACTTTAACTTAGAAACATGGATCAATGTTGCAAGGCTACATCGAAATCCCTAGCTATGAATTTAGTTACACATCATGTTCACAAAGATTAAAACGAAAATAAACAACATGAGTGAAAATAAATTCATGAGAGGAAACCCTTGAACCAATTCTGATGTTGAACTTCTCCAAGAACAGCCTCCTGCAATGAGTCTTGATGGTGGAAATATATGGGCGGCTAGGGTTTAAGTGTGTGTGAAAGGGGAGAATAACAAAAAGAAGGATGTCTAGGGTTGTGAAATTCGTCCAAAATAAATAGGGTCTGTGAAAGTGGCTAAAAGGCAAGTTTTTATGGGGTAAAAGAGGCTGTCAGATATTCCAAAGAGATCCTAATAAATCAACCTTTATTTTGCACGTTTTTGCCTTATTTGGCACCTCCAAATCAGGCTAGAAATCCCCATTACTTTCCCATTTTGCTCTCAGTCTTTAAACAAGCCAGGTTCGCTTTGGATCTTTATTTGGACTTCAAAACAGGTCAAGAAATTTGTTTCCTCATTTGAATAATGGCCAGCTCCAAAAATGACATGTTTTGATTTCCTTCGCCTTCAACTTGATCCTAAAGTAGGTGCAACTGCATACTAACACTAAATAGGGTAAAACGCAACATTTTTAACTCAAAAACATCACAAATAGACTAGAAATGGATGGTATATATGTAAAAATATATGAGTTATCAAAATCCAATGGCTAAAACTATGAAATACATCAACCACTCCATTTCAGAACGAACTTCCTACGAACCTAAATTGTCCGATTTTGTGGACCAATCGATATCTGATCGAGTCCAAAACTTGGGGAACAACATAATATGGTGGGACGAATCATTTGGTTGGTTTTGAGTGAAATCCAATGGCTAAAACTCTGCAATACACCAACCACTCCATTTCAGAACGAACTTCCTACGAACTTGAATTGTCCAATTTCATGGACCAATCGATATCGGATTGAGTCCAAAACTTGGGGAACATCATAATATGGTGGGAGGAGTCATTTGGTTGGTTTTGAGTGAAATCCAATGGCTAAAACTATGCAATACACCAACCACTCCATTTCAGAACGAACTTCCTACGAACCTGAATTGTCCGATTTCATGGACCAATCGATATCGGATTGAGTCCAAAACTTGGGGAACAACATAATATGGTGGGAGGAGTCATTTGGTTGGTTTTGAGTGAAATCCAATGGCTAAAACTATGCAATACACCAACCACTCCATTTCAGAACGAACTTCCTACGAACCTGAATAGTCCGATTTCATGGACCAATCGATATCGGATTGAGTCCAAAACTTGGGGAACAACATAATATGGTGGGAGGAGTCATTTGGTGGGTTTTGAGGGAAATACAAATGGTCTTAGAAATATGCCATACACCAACCACTCCATTTCAGAACGAAACTTCCGCGAAGCTAAAAATGAGTCGGATTTCATGATGAACAACACCATCGATATCGGATAGCTCTAACCCACTGGGGAAATGATAATATGGTGGGAGGAGTCCATTTGGTTGGTTTTGAGTGAAATCCAATGGCAAAAACTATGCAATACACCAAACCATCCATTTCAGAACGAACTTCCTACGAACCTGATGTCGATTTCCATGGACCAATCGATATCGGATTAGTCCAAAATTGGGGAACATCATAATATGGTGGGAGGAGTCATTTGGTGGTTTTGAGTGAAATCCAATGGCTAAAACTATGCAATACACCAACCACTCCATTTCAGAACGAACTTCGTACGAACCTGAATTGTCCGATTTCATGGACCAATCGATATCGGATTGAGTCCAAAACTTGGGGAACATCATAATATGGTGGGAGGAGTCATTTGGTGGGTTTTGAGTGAAATCCAATGGCTAAAACTATGCAATACACCAACCACTCCATTTCAGAACGAACTTCTACGAACCTGAATTGTCCGATTTCATGGACCAATCGATATCGGATTGAGTCCAAAACTTGGGGAACAACATAATATGGTGGGAGGAGTCATTTGGGTGGTTTTGAGTGAAATCCAATGGCTAAAACTATGCAATACACCAACCACTCCATTTCAGAACGAACTTCGTACGAACCTGAATTGTCCGATTTCATGGACCAATCGATATCGGATTGAGTCCAAAACTTGGGGAACATCATAATATGGTGGGAGGAGTCATTTGGTTGGTTTTGAGTGAAATCCAATGGCTAAAACTATGCAATACACCAACCACTCCATTTCAGAACGAACTTCGTACGAACCTGAATTGTCCGATTTCATGGACCAATCGATATCGGATTGAGTCCAAAACTTGGGGAACATCATAATATGGTGGGAGGAGTCATTTGGTTGGTTTTGAGTGAAATCCAATGCTAGAAACTATGCAATACACCAACCACTCCATTTCAGAACGAACTTCGTACGAACCTGAATTGTCGATTTCATGGACCAATCGATATCGGATTGAGTCCAAAACTTGGGGAACACATAATATGGTGGGAGGAGTCATTTGGTGGGTTTGAGTGAAATCCAATGGCTAAAACTATGCAATACACCAACCACTCCATTTCAGAACGAACTTCGTACGAACCTGAATTGTCCGATTTCATGGACCAATCGATATCGGATTGAGTCCAAAACTTGGGGAACATCATAATATGGTGGGAGGAGTCATTTGGTGGTTTTGAGTGAAATCCAATGGCTAAAACTATGCAATACACCAACCACTCCATTTCAGAACGAACTTCGTACGAACCTGAATTGTCCGATTTCATGGACCAATCGATATCGGATTGAGTCCAAAACTTGGGGAACATCATAATATGGTGGGAGGAGTCATTTGGTGGGTTTTGAGTGAAATCCAATGGCTAAAACTATGCAATACACCAACCACTCCATTTCAGAACGAACTTCGTACGAACCTGAATTGTCCGATTTCATGGACCAATCGATATCGGATTGAGTCCAAAACTTGGGGAACATCATAATATGGTGGGAGGAGTCATTTGGTGGTTTTGAGTGAAATCCAATGGCTAAAACTATGCCATACACCAACCCCTCCATTTCAGAACGACTTCCTACTAACCTGACTATTCCGATTTTCATGGACCAATCGATATCGGATTGAGTCCAAAACTTGGGGACACACATACTATGTGGGAGGAGTCATTTGGTTGGTTTTGAGTGAAATCCAATGGCTACTATGCCAATACACCAACCACTCCATTTCAGAAACGAACTTCGCTACAACCTGAATTGTCCGATTTCTTGGACCAATCGATATCGGATTGAGTCCAAAACTTGGGGAACAACATAATATGGTGGGAGGAGTCATTTGGTTGGTTTGGAGTGAAATCCAATGGCTAAAACTATGCAATACACCAACCACTCCATTTCAGAACGAACTTGCTACGAACCTGAATTGTCCGATTTCTTGGACCAATCGATATCGGATTGAGTCCAAAACTTGGGGAACAACATAATATGGTGGGAGGAGTCATTTGGTTGGTTTTGAGTGAAATCCAATGCTAAAACTATGCAATACACCAACCACTCCATTTCAGAACGAACTTCCTACGAACCTGAATTGTCCGATTTCATGGACCAATCGATATCGGATTGAGTCCAAAACTTGGGGAACAACATAATATGGTGGGAGGAGTCATTTGGTTGGTTTTGAGTGAAATCCAATCGCTAAAACTATGCAATACACCAACCACTCCATTTCAGAACGAACTTCGTACGAACCTGAATAGTCCGATTTCATGGACCAATCGATATCGGATTGAGTCCAAAACTTGGGGAACAACATAATATGGTGGGAGGAGTCATTTGGTTGGTTTTGAGTGAAATCCAATCTAAAACTACAACACCACCTCATTTCAGACGAACTAACGAACTACGAACCTGAATGTCCGATTTCATGGACCAATCGATATCGGATTGAGTCCAAAACTTGGGGAACAACATAATATGGTGGGGGAGTCATTTGGTTGGTTTTGATGAAATCCAATGGCTAAAACTATGCAATACACCAACCACTCCATTTCAGAACGAACTTCTACGAACCTGAATTGTCCGATTTCATGGACCAATCGATATCGGATTGAGTCCAAAACTTGGGGAACAACATAATATGTGTGGAGGAGTCATTTGGTTGGTTTTGAGTGAAATCCAATGGCTAAAACTATGCAATACACCAACCACTCCATTTCAGAACGAACTTCTACGAACCTGAATAGTCCGATTTCATGGACCAATCGATATCGGATTGAGTCCAAAACTTGGGGAACAACATAATATGGTGGGAGGAGTCATTTGGTTGGTTTTGAGTGAAATCCAATGGCTAAAACTATGCAATACACCAACCACTCCATTTCAGAACGAACTTCCTACGAACCTGAATTGTCCGATTTCATGGACCAATCGATATCGGATTGAGTCCAAAACTTGGGGAACAACATAATATGGTGGGAGGAGTCATTTGGTTGGTTTTGAGTGAAATCCAATGGCTCAAACTATGCAATACACCAACCACTCCATTTCAGAACGAACTTCCTACGAACCTGAATAGTCCGATTTCATGGACCAATCGATATCGGATTGAGTCCAAAACTTGGGGAACAACATAATATGGTGGGAGGAGTCATTTGGTTGGTTTTGAGTGAAATCCAATGGCTAAAACTATGCAATACACCAACCACTCCATTTCAGAACGAACTTCCTACGAACCTGAATAGTCCGATTTCATGGACCAATCGATATCGGATTGAGTCCAAAACTTGGGGAACAACATAATATGGTGGGAGGAGTCATTTGGTTGGTTTTGAGTGAAATCCAATGGCTAAAACTATGCAATACACCAACCACTCCATTTCAGAACGAACTTCCTACGAACCTGAATTGTCCGATTTCATGGACCAATCGATATCGGATTGAGTCCAAAACTTGGGGAACAACATAATATGGTGGGAGGAGTCATTTGGTTGGTTTTGAGTGAAATCCAATGGCTAAAACTATGCAATACACCAACCACTCCATTTCAGAACGAACTTCCTACGAACCTGAATTGTCCGATTTCATGGACCAATCGATATCGGATTGAGTCCAAAACTTGGGGAACAACATAATATGGTGGGAGGAGTCATTTGGTTGGTTTTGAGTGAAATCCAATGGCTAAAACTATGCAATACACCAACCACTCCATTTCAGAACGAACTTCCTACGAACCTGAATAGTCCGATTTCATGGACCAATCGATATCGGATTGAGTCCAAAACTTGGGGAACAACATAATATGGTGGGAGGAGTCATTTGGTTGGTTTTGAGTGAAATCCAATGGCTAAAACTATGCAATACACCAACCACTCCATTTCAGAACGAACTTCCTACGAACCTGAATAGTCCGATTTCATGGACCAATCGATATCGGATTGAGTCCAAAACTTGGGGAACAACATAATATGGTGGGAGGAGTCATTTGGTGGTTTTGAGTGAAATCCAACCTAAAATATGCAAAACCCAACCACTCCATTTCAAAAGCAACTTCGTACAACCTGAATTGTCTGATTTCATGGCCAATCGATGTCGGAGAGTCCAAAATTTGGGGAGCATCATAATAGGTGGGAGGAGTCATTTGGTGGTTTTGAGTGAAATCCAATGTCTAGAAACTATGCAATACACCAACACTCCATTTCAGAACGAACTGCTACGAACCTGAATTGTCCGATTTCTTGGACCAATCGATATCGATTGAGTCCAAAACTTGGGGAACATCATAATATGGTGGGAGGAGTCATTTGGTGGTTTTGAGTGAAATCCAATGGCTAAAACTATGCAATACACCAACCACTCCATTTCAGAACGAACTTCGTACGAACCTGAATTGTCCGATTTCATGGACCAATCGATATCGGATTGAGTCCAAAACTTGGGGAACAACATAATATGGTGGGAGGAGTCATTTGGTTGGTTTTGAGTGAAATCCAATGGCTAAAACTATGCAATACACCAACCACTCCATTTCTGAACGAACTTGCTACGAACCTGAATTGTCCGATTTCTTGGACCAATCGATATCGGATTGAGTCCAAAACTTGGGGAACAACATAATATGGTGGGAGGAGTCATTTGGTTGGTTTGGAGTGAAATCCAATCTCTAAAACTATGCAATACACCAACCACTCCATTTCAGAACGAACTTGCTACGAACCTGAATAGTCCGATTTCATGGACCAATCGATATCGGATTGAGTCCAAAACTTGGGGAACAATATAATATGGTGGGAGGAGTCATTTGGTTGGTTTTGAGTGAAATCCAATGGCTAAAACTATGCAATACACCAACCACTCCATTTCAGAACGAACTTCCTACGAACCTGAATAGTCCGATTTCATGGACCAATCGATATCGGATTGAGTCCAAAACTTGGGGAACAACATAATATGGTGGGAGGAGCATTTGGTTGGTTGGGAAGTGAAATCCAATGGCTAAAACTATGCAATACACCAACTACTCCATTTTGAACGAACTTGCGCGAACCTGAATAGTCCGATTTCTTGGACCAATCGATATGGATTGAGTCCAAAATTGGGGAACACATAATATGGTTGGGAGGAGTCATTTGGTTGGTTTGGAGTGAAATCCAATGGCTAAAACTATGCAATACACCAACCACTCCATTTCAGAACGAACTTCCTACGAACCTGAATTGTCCGATTTCATGGACCAATCGATATCGGATTGAGTCCAAAACTTGGGGAACAACATAATATGGTGGGAGGAGTCATTTGGTTGGTTTTGAGTGAAATCCAATGGCTAGAACTATGCAATACACCAACCACTCCATTTCAGAACGAACTTCCTACGAACCTGAATTGTCCGATTTCATGGACCAATCGATATCGGATTGAGTCCAAAACTTGGGGAACAACATAATATGGTGGGAGGAGTCATTTGGTGGTTTTGAGTGAAATCCAATGGCTAAAACTATGCAATACACCAACCACTCCATTTCAGAACGAACTTCGTACGAACCTGAATTGTCCGATTTCATGGACCAATCGATATCGGATTGAGTCCAAAACTTGGGGAACAACATAATATGGTGGGAGGAGTCATTTGGTTGGTTTTGAGTGAAATCCAATGGCTAAAACTATGCAATACACCAACCACTCCATTTCAGAACGAACTTCGTACGAACCTGAATTGTCCGATTTCATGGACCAATCGATATCGGATTGAGTCCAAAACTTGGGGAACATCATAATATGGTGGGAGGAGTCATTTGGTTGGTTTTGAGTGAAATCCAATCTCTAGAACTATGCAATACACCAACCACTCCATTTCAGAACGAACTTCGTACGAACCTGAATTGTCCGATTTCATGGACCAATCGATATCGGATTGAGTCCAAAACTTGGGGAACATCATAATATGGTGGGAGGAGTCATTTGGTGGTTTGAGTGAAATCCAATGCTAAAACTATGCAATACACCAACCACTCCATTTCAGAACGAACTTCGTACGAACCTGAATTGTCCGATTTCATGGACCAATCGATATCGGATTGAGTCCAAAACTTGGGGAACATCATAATATGGTGGGAGGAGTCATTTGGTGGTTTTGAGTGAAATCCAATGGCTAAAACTATGCAATACACCAACCACTCCATTTCAGAACGAACTTCGTACGAACCTGAATTGTCCGATTTCATGGACCAATCGATATCGGATTGAGTCCAAAACTTGGGGAACATCATAATATGGTGGGAGGAGTCATTTGGTGGTTTTGAGTGAAATCCAATGGCTAAAACTATGCAATACACCAACCACTCCATTTCAGAACGAACTTCGTACGAACCTGAATTGTCCGATTTCATGGACCAATCGATATCGGATTGAGTCCAAAACTTGGGGAACATCATAATATGGTGGGAGGAGTCATTTGGTTGGTTTTGAGTGAAATCCAATGGCTAAAACTATGCAATACACCAACCACTCCATTTCAGAACGAACTTCGTACGAACCTGAATTGTCCGATTTCATGGACCAATCGATATCGGATTGAGTCCAAAACTTGGGGAACATCATAATATGGTGGGAGGAGTCATTTGGTGGTTTTGAGTGAAATCCAATGGCTAAAACTATGCAATACACCAACCACTCCATTTCAGAACGAACTTCGTACGAACCTGAATTGTCCGATTTCATGGACCAATCGATATCGGATTGAGTCCAAAACTTGGGGAACATCATAATATGGTGGGAGGAGTCATTTGGTGGGTTTTGAGTGAAATCCAATGGCTAAAACTATGCAATACACCAACCACTCCATTTCAGAACGAACTTCGTACGAACCTGAATTGTCCGATTTCATGGACCAATCGATATCGGATTGAGTCCAAAACTTGGGGAACATCATAATATGGTGGGAGGAGTCATTTGGTGGTTTTGAGTGAAATCCAATGCTAGAAACTATGCAATACACCAACCACTCCATTTCAGAACGAACTTCGTACGAACCTGAATTGTCCGATTTCATGGACCAATCGATATCGGATTGAGTCCAAAACTTGGGGAACATCATAATATGGTGGGAGGAGTCATTTGGTGGTTTTGAGTGAAATCCAATGGCTAAAACTATGCAATACACCAACCACTCCATTTCAGAACGAACTTCGTACGAACCTGAATTGTCCGATTTCATGGACCAATCGATATCGGATTGAGTCCAAAACTTGGGGAACATCATAATATGGTGGGAGGAGTCATTTGGTGGTTTTGAGTGAAATCCAATGGCTAAAACTATGCAATACACCAACCACTCCATTTCAGAACGAACTTCGTACGAACCTGAATTGTCCGATTTCATGGACCAATCGATATCGGATTGAGTCCAAAACTTGGGGAACATCATAATATGGTGGGAGGAGTCATTTGGTGGTTTTGAGTGAAATCCAATGGCTAAAACTATGCAATACACCAACCACTCCATTTCAGAACGAACTTCGTACGAACCTGAATTGTCCGATTTCATGGACCAATCGATATCGGATTGAGTCCAAAACTTGGGGAACATCATAATATGGTGGGAGGAGTCATTTGGTGGTTTTGAGTGAAATCCAATGGCTAAAACTATGCAATACACCAACCACTCCATTTCAGAACGAACTTCGTACGAACCTGAATTGTCCGATTTCATGGACCAATCGATATCGGATTGAGTCCAAAACTTGGGGAACATCATAATATGGTGGGAGGAGTCATTTGGTGGTTTTGAGTGAAATCCAATGGCTAAAACTATGCAATACACCAACCACTCCATTTCAGAACGAACTTCGTACGAACCTGAATTGTCCGATTTCATGGACCAATCGATATCGGATTGAGTCCAAAACTTGGGGAACATCATAATATGGTGGGAGGAGTCATTTGGTGGTTTTGAGTGAAATCCAATGGCTAAAACTATGCAATACACCAACCACTCCATTTCAGAACGAACTTCGTACGAACCTGAATTGTCCGATTTCATGGACCAATCGATATCGGATTGAGTCCAAAACTTGGGTGAACAACATAATATGGGGGAGGAGTCATTTTGGTTGGTTGGTTGGATTGAAATCGAATGGCTAAAATATGAACTACACCAAATAATCCATTTAAGAACGAACTTGCTACGAGCCGAATAGTCCGATTTCAGGACACACATCGATATCGGATTGACCTTCAAAAAACATGGGGAAAACACATAATATGGTGGGAGGAGTCATTGGTTGGTTTGGAGGGAAATCTAATGGCTAAAACTACGCAATACACCAAAAAAACTCCATTTCAGAACGAACTTGGTACGAACCTGAATAGTCCGATTCTCTTGGACCAATCGATATCGGATTGAGTTCCCGAAAAACTTGGGGAACAACATAATATGGTGCGGGAGGAGGCATTTGGTTGGTTTGGAGTGAAATGCCAATGGCTAAAAACTACTATTTTAAAAAAAAAAAAAAAAAAAAAAAAAAAAAAAAAAAAAAAAAAAAAAAAAAAAAAAAAAAAAAAAAAAAAAAAAAAAAAAAAAAAAAAAAAAAAAAAAAAAAAAAAAAAAAAAAAAAAAAAAAAAAAAAAAAAAAAAAAAAAAAAAAAAAAAAAAAAAAAAAAAAAAAAAAAAAAAAAAAAAAAAAAAAAAAAAAAAAAAAAAAAAAAAAAAAAAAAAAAAAAAAAAAAAAAAAAAAAAAAAAAAAAAAAAAAAAAAAAAAAAAAAAAAAAAAAAAAAAAAAAAAAAAAAAAAAAAAAAAAAAAAAAAAAAAAAAAAAAAAAAAAAAAAAAAAAAAAAAAAAAAAAAAAAAAAAAAAAAAAAAAAAAAAAAAAAAAAAAACTGATTTCATGGACCAATCGATATCGGATTGAGTCGAAACTTGGGGAACAACATAATATGGTGGGAGGAGTCATTTGGTTGGTTTTGAGTGAAATCCAAGGGCTAAAACTATGCAATACACCAACCACTCCATTTCAGAACGAACTTCCTACGAACCTGAATAGTTCGATTTCGTGGACCAATCGATTTCGGATTGAGTCCAAAACTTGGGGAACATCATAATATGGTGGGAGGAGTGGTTGGTTGTTTTTGAATGAAATCCAATCTCTAAAACTATGGAATACACCAACCACTCCATTTCAGAACGAACTTCCTACGAACCTGAATTGTCCGATTTCTGGACCAATCGATATCGGATTGAGTCCAAAACTTGGGGAACAACATAATATGGTGGGAGGAGTCATTTTGGTTGGTTTGAGTGAAATCCAATGGCTCTAAAACTATGCAATACACCAACCACTCCATTTCAGAACGAACTTCCTACGAACCTGAATAGTCCGATTTCATGGACCAATCGATATCGGATTGAGTCCAAAACTTGGGGAACAACATAATATGGTGGGAGGAGTCATTTGGTTGGTTTTGAGTGAAATCCAATGGCTAAAACTATGCAATACACCAACCACTCCATTTCAGAACGAACTTCCTACGAACCTGAATTGTCCGATTTCATGGACCAATCGATATCGGATTGAGTCCAAAACTTGGGGAACAACATAATATGGTGGGAGGAGTCATTTGGTTGGTTTTGAGTGAAATCCAATGGCTAAAACTATGCAATACACCAACCACTCCATTTCAGAACGAACTTCCTACGAACCTGAATAGTCCGATTTCATGGACCAATCGTATCGGATTGAGTCCAAAACTTGGGGAACAACATAATATGGTGGGAGGAGTCATTTGGTTGGTTTTGAGTGAAATCCAATCTCTAAAACTATGCAATACACCAACCACTCCATTTCAGAACGAACTTCCTACGAACCTGAATAGTCCGATTTCATGGACCAATCGATATCGGATTGAGTCCAAAACTTGGGGAACAACATAATATGGTGGGAGGAGTCATTTGGTTGGTTTTGAGTGAAATCCAATGGCTAAAACTATGCAATACACCAACCACTCCATTTCAGAACGAACTTCCTACGAACCTGAATAGTCCGATTTCATGGACCAATCGATATCGGATTGAGTCCAAAACTTGGGGAACAACATAATATGGTGGGAGGAGTCATTTGGTTGGTTTTGAGTGAAATCCAATCTCTAAAACTATGCAATACACCAACCACTCCATTTCAGAACGAACTTCTACGAACCTGAATAGTCCGATTTCATGGACCAATCGATATCGGATTGAGTCCAAAACTTGGGGAACAACATAATATGGTGGGAGGAGTCATTTGGTTGGTTTTGAGTGAAATCCAATGGCTAAAACTATGCAATACACCAACCACTCCATTTCAGAACGAACTTCCTACGAACCTGAATAGTCCGATTTCATGGACCAATCGATATCGGATTGAGTCCAAAACTTGGGGAACAACATAATATGGTGGGAGGAGTCATTTGGTTGGTTTTGAGTGAAATCCAATGTCTAAAACTATGCAATACACCAACCACTCCATTTCAGAACGAACTTCCTACGAACCTGAATAGTCCGATTTCATGGACCAATCGATATCGGATTGAGTCCAAAACTTGGGGAACAACATAATATGGTGGGAGGAGTCATTTGGTTGGTTTTGAGTGAAATCCAATGTCTAAAACTATGCAATACACCAACCACTCCATTTCAGAACGAACTTCCTACGAACCTGAATAGTCCGATTTCATGGACCAATCGATATCGGATTGAGTCCAAAACTTGGGGAACAACATAATATGGTGGGAGGAGTCATTTGGTTGGTTTTGAGTGAAATCCAATGTCTAAAACTATGCAATACACCAACCACTCCATTTCAGAACGAACTTCCTACGAACCTGAATTGTCCGATTTCATGGACCAATCGATATCGGATTGAGTCCAAAACTTGGGGAACAACATAATATGGTGGGAGGAGTCATTTGGTTGGTTTTGAGTGAAATCCAATGGCTAAAACTATGCAATACACCAACCACTCCATTTCAGAACGAACTTCCTACGAACCTGAATAGTCCGATTTCATGGACCAATCGATATCGGATTGAGTCCAAAACTTGGGGAACAACATAATATGGTGGGAGGAGTCATTTGGTTGGTTTTGAGTGAAATCCAATGGCTAAAACTATGCAATACACCAACCACTCCATTTCAGAACGAACTTCCTACGAACCTGAATAGTCCGATTTCATGGACCAATCGATATCGGATTGAGTCCAAAACTTGGGGAACAACATAATATGGTGGGAGGAGTCATTTGGTGGGTTTTGGAGTGAAATCCAATGGCTAAAACTATGCAATACACCAACCACTCCATTTCAGAACGAACTTCCTACGAACCTGAATAGTCCGATTTCTTGGACCAATCGATATCGGATTGAGTCCAAAACTTGGGGAACAACATAATATGGTGGGAGGAGTCATTTGGTTGGTTTTGGAGTGAAATCCAATGGCTAAAAACTATGCAATACACCAACCACTCCATTTCAGAACGAACTTCCTACGAACCTGAATTGTCCGATTTCATGGACCAATCGATATCGGATTGAGTCCAAAACTTGGGGAACAACATAATATGGTGGGAGGAGTCATTTGGTTGTTTTTGAGTGAAATCCAATGGCTAAAACTATGCAATACACCAACCACTCCATTTCAGAACGAACTTCCTACGAACCTGAATTGTCCGATTTCATGGACCAATCGATATCGGATTGAGTCCAAAACTTGGGGAACAACATAATATGGTGGGAGGAGTCATTTGGTTGGTTTTGGAGTGAAATCCAATCGCTAAAACTATGCAATACACCAACCACTCCATTTCAGAACGAACTTCCTACGAACCTGAATAGTCCGATTTCATGGACCAATCGATATCGGATTGAGTCCAAAACTTGGGGAACAACATAATGTGGTGGGAGGAGTCATTTGGTTGGTTTTGAGTGAAATCCAATGGCTAAAACTATGCAATACACCAACCACTCCATTTCAGAACGAACTTCTACGAACCTGAATAGTCCGATTTCATGGACCAATCGATATCGGATTGAGTCCAAAACTTGGGGAACACATAATATGGTGGGAGGAGTCATTTGGTGGGTTTTGAGTGAAATCCAATGGCTAAAACTATGCAATACACCAACCACTCCATTTCAGAACGAACTTGCTACGAACCTGAATTGTCCGATTTCATGGACCAATCGATATCGGATTGAGTCCAAAACTTGGGGAACAACATAATATGGTGGGAGGAGTCATTTGGTGGGTTTTGGAGTGAAATCCAATGGCTAAAAACTATGCAATACACCAACCACTCCATTTCTGAAGAACTTCGTACGAACCTGAATTGTCCGATTTCATGGACCAATCGATATCGGATTGAGTCCAAAACTTGGGGAACATCATAATGTTGTGGGAGGATCATTTGGTGAATTTTGAGTGAAATCCAATGGCTAAAACTATAATACACCAACCACTCCCATTTCAGAAACGAACTTCGTACGAATGAAATGTCCAATTTCATGGACCAATTGATATTGGATGAGTCCAAAACCTTGGGGAACATCATAATGTTGTGGGAGGAGTCATTTGGTGAGTTTTGAGTGAAATCCAATGGCTAAAACTATGCAATACACCAACCACTCCATTTCAGAACGAACTTCGTACGAACCTGAATTGTCCAATTTCATGGACCAATCGATATCGGATTGAGTCCAAAACTTGGGGAACATCATAATGTTGTGGGAGGAGTCATTTGGTGAGTTTTGAGTGAAATCCAATGGCTAAAACTATGCAATACACCAACCACTCCATTTCAGAACGAACTTCGTACGAACCTGAATTGTCCAATTTCATGGACCAATCGATATCGGATTGAGTCCAAAACTTGGGGAACATCATAATGTTGTGGGAGGAGTCATTTGGTGAGTTTTGAGTGAAATCCAATGGCTAAAACTATGCAATACACCAACCACTCCATTTCAGAACAAACTTCGTACGAACCTGAATTGTCCAATTTCATGGACCAATCGATATCGGATTGAGTCCAAAACTTGGGGAACATCATAATGTTGTGGGAGGAGTCATTTGGTGAGTTTTGAGTGAAATCCAATGGCTAAAACTATGCAATACACCAACCACTCCATTTCAGAACGAACTTCGTACGAACCTGAATTGTCCAATTTCATGGACCAATCGATATCGGATTGAGTCCAAAACTTGGGGAACATCATAATGTTGTGGGAGGAGTCATTTGGTGTGTTTTGAGTGAAATCCAATGGCTAAAACTATGCAATACACAAACCACTCCATTTCAGAACGAACTTTGTACGAACCTGAATTGTCCAATTTCATGGACCAATCGATATCGGATTGAGTCCAACACTTGGGGAACATCATAACATGGTGAGAGGAGTCATTTGCTTGATTTTGAGTGAAATCCATTCTCTAGAACTGTACAACACATCAACCAGTCCATTTCAGAACGAACACTACTACAAAAAAGGAAAACACGACGGGAATTCACCGTTGTGTATTCTGTTTTCAAATGGTCGTGGAATCCACCGACATCTTTTCCATAACCAAACCACGACGGTGAATAACCGTCGTTGTTAAAACAAAAACGTCATCAAAAAATAAAAACAGACGTCTTTGTGCTGCAAAAAGACATAAAAAAACCGTCGAGGATGAGAATAGACGACCAACTCCAACAAAAAAAACGTCGTTAAAAAGGAAACAGATGACAAATATAAATACGACATCTTTACAATCATAATAGACGACGTTATTGACACCTACTACGTCACAACATTTCCCACAACCGTCGTAAAATAAATTTTCCACTTCAATTTTTCTATGAATTATGACGTGGAAATAGATGTCAGGGTCATTACTTACGAGGCATGTATTTACAGAGACGACGTTGAATTTGATAAATAACGTCGGTTCCAAATAAATGAGAGCCGTATTACAGAATTTATACGTCATATTTTGAAAATAAACGACGTGAAAAAAGATGGTGTCATTAATTACGACACAGAAATTTATAAGGACGACGTTGTCGTCTATATACAACGTCGGTACCATGAAAAAGGCCGTCGTGTTTAATAATTTATACGTCTTCATTAAAAAAATTAACGTCGTCTAATTCATAAATCTTAACGTCGACAAATTTAATGGACTTCAAATACCGTCGTGAATTCATCCTTTTCCACTTCGTTTATGAAAGAACATGCGACGTGGTAAATTCATGACGACGTCGTCTTTTGTAACGTTCAGGTTAAAGTTCTCGTCTTTTAGACGTCGGTGTTATGGGATTGGAGTCGTGTTATTTTGAATTACATGGCGGTTCTTTATGCTTGTCCGACGTGTTATCCTGGATAACTGTTTCACAATAGCGTCGTGGTTCTTCATTGTTACTTTGCTTTAAGACGTCGGTAAATATATTGCGGTCGTTGAATGCTCCAAAACGTCGTTATTTATTAGAACAGACGTTTGTTTTTCACATTTTTATCAAAACCGTCGTGTTTTGTAATCTGGAACCAGTAATTTTTGTACTGATTGTTTTGTGGCCAAAACCTGTATAATGAAAGTGAAGAAATCACATTACAATATATTACAAAATTAATGTCATACACTGCCAATTACATAAAGCATCATTCAACCCATATATCTTCACACCCATCTCGAATATTTTGACTCCCTAACTCAACCACCACTTCATCAAATGTGTCAACATTTGGCATCCCCCTAGTAAATGGCTCACACTCAATTCTCACATCACCTAAGACATCATCACCAATAACATCATTATATTCTCTATTAGGCATTGATAACACTACCGACCAACCACGATGCATCGGGTCGTCAACAAAAAATACTTGTTTGACTTGAGAAGCCAAAACAAATTGGTCATTCCTATGTCCAATTTTACTCAAATCTACAAGGGTAAATCCAAGTTCGTCCACTACAAGACCAGAAGTATTATCAATCCAATCACACCTAAAGACTGGGATTGTAAACTTTTGGTAGTCAAGGTCCCAAATTTCTTGAATGACACCATAGAAACCCATATTTGAGAGAATTGGGTTTTTATCCTTGGCACTAGCAACTTGCATAGTATGTGCAAGTAAATAAACTCCACTATTTTGAGTTGTCCGCACATCATCTTGTGCCTTGATGTTGAATTTAATACCTTTAATGAGATAGCTCCTATATAATGGCACTGCCATGTTTGGACCAGCTGCTAGCCACCTTAAATTTTCTGATACGCCATGATTGTCTTCCTCATTAAGTTCACTTTGAACCTGCAAATTAATCATAACTTAATTCAATCTAACATAGAAAGAAGAAAATTAAAAGTCCAATATGTTATTCAATAACATATACCTTGAAGCGTAGCCATTGAATGAAAGTGCTATTGTGCTTATCCTGCAGCCACTTTGTTCTCTTTCTAAATTTTGGATAAGCGGTCTGGATGTGGACCATATGTTGCCTACATGACACACAAAATTCAAGTATTACGGTCCCAAACATATAAGATAAACATAAGAAATAATTTAAAATGGAAACTTAAAGAATAAAACTCATATGTACTCGATATAAGGTAGGACTTCCTCCGTATTCTCCAAGACATATAGATGTGCTTGGTTCAACAGGTCCCGATCAACTACGCTCACTGTGCAACCTGATAATGGCTTTAAAACTCCCATCTTTTGGCTTGAAGGCACTCCAACTGTACTAACATCAGATAAATGCTCGGTACAAAACTCTACAGCTTCTTCAGCTATATACCGCTCAGCAATGCAACCTTCGGGACGAGTACGATTCTGAACATACCCCTTTAGCACTTTCATATATCTTTCAAACGGATACATCCATCTAAAATATACTGGCCCACACAGACGAACTTCTCTGACAAGATGTACTACTAGATGAACCATGATATCAAAGAATGAAGGGGGAAAGTACTTCTCAAGCAAACACAAAGTAACTACTACATCTTCTTCCAACTTATCTAGCTTGGAAACATCAACAGTCTTTGCACATATAGCATTGAAGAAGAAGCACAAACGAGTTATTGCATACCTTGCAGGCTTCTCCAAAACAGAACGAATTGCCACAGGGAGCAATTGTTGCATTAAGGTATGACAATCATGTGATTTAAGGCCAAGAAGTCTTGAATCTTGTAAAGATACAAGATTTTTTTATATTTGAAGAATAACCTTCAGGGACCTTCATACCATAGAAAGAATTGCAAACCTCTCTCTTCTCTGCTCTTGACAAATTCCAAGGCCCGGGAGGCAAACGAGTACGTCTTTCTCCATACTCGGGTTGCAAATCAGTTTTGACCCCCATGTTCAATAAATCTAATCGAGCAGCAATCCCATCTTTATTTTTTCCAGGGATCTCCGGCAATGTACCAATGATACTATCGCAAACATTCTTCTCAATGTGCATAACATCTAGGACATGCCTCACAGGAAGGTATTTCCAATACTCGAGATCAAAGAATATTGATTTCTTCTTCCAACAAACTCTGTCACCATCTTCAACCATATGCAGCACTTCTTCTCCGGTTAATGGCTCAGGAGGCGTGCCATATTCAGGTTTCCCATTAAAAGCTGCACGTTGCCTCCTATATGGATGATTGATCGGTAACCATTTTCTATGCCCAATGTAACAAATTTTGTGGCCATTTTTCAACCTGTGACTAGGTGTATCATCGCCGCATATTGGACAAGCTTTATATCCTTTAACAACACAACCAGATAAGTTTCCATAGGCGGGGAAATCATTAATTGTCCACATTAATGCAGCTCTGAGTGTAAAGTATTCTCCATTATGTGCATCATACACTCCTCCAATCCCATCCCACAAAGATTTTAAATCATCAATCAAAGGCTCCAAGTAGACGTCTATATCATTTCCGGGCTGTTTAGGACCGGAAATCAATAAGGTCAACATCATGAACTTTCGTTTCATGCACAGCCATGGAGGGAGATTATATGTAACTAAGATAACTGGCCAGCAACTATATCTGCTACTTAGAGAACTGTGGGGATTGAATCCATCAGATGAAAGAGCCAATCTCAAGTTTCTCGGCTCATTACCAAACTCGGGCCATTTATCATCAAGAAGTTTCCAAGACGGGGAATCCGCTGGATGAGACATATAACCGTCAATTGATTTTCTAGCAGCATGCCAAGTCAAACTCTTAGCGGTCTCATGTGATCGAAACATCCTTTTAAACCTTGGAATTGGAGGAAAATACCACACCACCTTCGCTGGCACACCCTCTTTCAAGATTGAATCTTTGCCTTCCTTCCACCTTGAGATACCACAATTAGGACAATGAGTTAAATCCTCATACTCCTTCCTATACAAGATGCAATCATTGGGGCATGCGTGCATTTTCTCATAACTCAGCCCCAATGCACACAAAGTCTTTTTTGCCTCATACATAGAGGCCGGTATTGTATTTCCTTCTGGAAGCAAATCGCCTTGAAGTATCAATAATTCTGTAAAACAGACATCACTCATCCCATATTTTGCCTTCAAATTATACAACTTCACTAATGCCGATAACTTCGTGTACTTTCTACAACCAGGGTACAATGGTTGATCTCCATCCCCAATCACATTGGCAAACTCATAAGGATCAGATCCAAATCACCAAAATCATTATCATCCATCTCTATTTCTTCAGACACAAAACTGTACCTACTATGGTCATCATCTTCTTCAACATTTCTACTAGCATTAGTAGCTGCTTCCCAAGGTTCTCCGTGAAATGTCCAATTCTTATAGCTTTGGTCAACTCCATTAAAGTATAAGTGATCCCTTATAATTCCAACCCCAAACAATTTCAAATTAACACATTTAACACATGGACAACGGATATGTGTGGTAGTTAGAAGATTTTCTACAGAAAGTTCAAAAATGCTTCCACCCCTAACTCATATGCCTTCGATCTTCTATCCGAGTGCATCCATGACTTATCCATCTCCGACACTATACCCTATTATATATAATAAAGTGAAAAGACAAGCAATGACCATCACTATAGCAGATTATATAAAGTCTAATAGCAAGTAATATACAACAGAGACGACGGTTTTTAAACAAAACAGACGTATTTGACATATATAGACGACGGATTTTACGTCGTCTAATTATAACCACGACGGTAGTTAAATAACACCGTCGTGTATAAGTAATAAAAACGACGGTTTAAAGTAAAACCGTCGTCGTATGCCTGAAAACGCGTCGATATCCAGTTTATTTTCAAGATCCCAAACCCTATTAAGAACACAACATAGACATGAAACCAAGCAAGAAACCAACATATACATGAAACCAACATATACTAAGCATGAAAACAATAAATCCATTCCCAATTCAACATAACAGAGAGTGATTAAAAGATCCGACAAAATGAAATCCATTCCATATTCAACATAACAGAGAGTGATCAAGAAAACATTAAACAGAAAATCCATGAACCCATACCTCCAACAACATTATTAACAGATCGCAAAACATATACCTAAAACCCTTTAACAAAACAACGTAATATATCATTCAATGAATTTACAAGGGGAAGAGAGGGTTTGTACTTACAGGTTGGCAGAGCTCACAGATTATGACCAAATTGGATTTGACACAGCCTGGCCCAACTTTGAATTAGAGATGAAGTGAGAGAGCGAAATGTTATGTTGCGCGAAATCTGAAAATTTTAGGGTTCAGGGTTAGAAGTATAAAAATAAGAGCCAAATCTGAAAATTTTAGGTCCCCGCGAATATTTTAAGAAAGCGCGCTTTTTAAAACATCGACCGAAAAAACACGCGTCGTTAAAATTTAACATTAAACATGACGCTTATTACATTAAGGACGTCGTGGTAAAACTATGTACCACGCAAAATCAAAAAAGGCGTTAAAACTATGAAAAACCACGTCGAGTTAAGTAATTAACGACGTTGTAAATAATAATAAACGACTTACGTGTAAACAAAACGTTGTTTAAAAGAGAAACCACGTCGGATTTTTCACCATACGACGTAAACTCAATATTTCACGACTCAATCACCGTCGTTAAAAGTAATACCCTAAACTTTAAAACCATAAATATATATTTGTAAAATTTAATTTTATAAAATTGTTTATGGTTTTACATCCTAATAAATAACAAACATAAACCCTAAACCCCAAAAATTATACTTTAACCATAAACCCTAATAAATAACAACCCTAAACCCCAAACCCTAAACCCTAAACCATCAAACTATATAAGTGATGCTATGACTCATCAAAACAATTTTATTTTGGTTGGTCATTTTAAACTTTTATTACACAAACTGCATTTTTTTGGGTTTTAGGGGGAAGAAAATATATCAATGACTTCATAGGAGTTGAAGTTGAATTTTTTGAATTTATTTTTTAAAATTTTGAATTAAAAATAATAAAATATTTTATATCAACAACAAACCACGGCGGGGTTAAGTAACTAACGACGTTGTAAATAATAATAAACGACTTACGTGTAAACAAAACGTCGTTTAAAAGAGAAACCACGTCGGATTTTTCACCATACGACGTAAACTCAATATTCCACGACTCAATCACCGTCGTTAAAAGTAATACCCTAAACTTTAAAACCATAAATTATATATTTGTAAAATTTAATTTTATAAAATTGTTTATGGTTTTACATCCTAATAAATAACAAACATAAACCCTAAACCCCAAAAATTATACTTTAACCATAAACCCTAATAAATAACAACCCTAAACCCCAAACCCTAAACCCTAAACCATCAAACTATATAAGTGATGCTATGACTCATCAAAACAATTTTATTTTGGTTGGTCATTTTAAACTTTTATTACACAAACTGCATTTTTTTGGGTTTTAGGGGGAAGAAAATATATCAATGACTTCATAGGAGTTGAAGTTGAATTTTTTGAATTTATTTTAAATTTATTTTTAAAATTTTGAATTAAAAATAATAAAATATTCTTATATCAACAACAAACCACGACGTTGTAAATAATAATAAACGACTCACATGTAAAAAGGACGTCGTTTAAAAGAGAAACCATGGCGGATGTTTCACCATCTGACGTAAAATACATATTCCACGACCGAATCACCGTCGTTAAAAGGTATTAACCTAAACCCTAATAACGACTTACTTGTTCAAAAGGACGTCGTTTAAAAGCGAAACCATGGCGAAATTGTCATCAAAACGACGTCTTATGTACGTCCCATCACGTCTAAATATCATTTTACGTCGGTTTTTTACATAATTATGTCGTTGGAAAGTTATTACACGTCGGTTACGCAATTTGTTTTTTCTTTTATATTATGAAAACCTCAGCAAATTTTCAGGGAAAAAAAGGATGTATATTATAGACAAAATTTGTACATTATATATTATAGACAAAATTAGTACATATAAAAATATCAAGTGTTCCAAAAATCCTCTAATCCATATGAAGGCAAACAAACTCTGCCCATTCTTTCCTGACTTCATCAATGGCTGCTTGGGGGTATGGCGCTTGATCTTTTCCCTTGGCAAACTGCAATCCATAAACAATGATTATTAAGCTTTACAAAATAAAAAGAAATTCAGACACAGACGACGTTTTTTTTCATAACCGACGTAGTCTATCGATTCAACGACGGTAATTTTAAATGACCGTCGTTGATAATACAAAAAACCACATAAAATGTTTTTGAAAATTTTATTCTTACCTTCTTCTCAAACTCCAAGGAAGGATCCATGATGATGTCCCTCATGAAGCGCATCACATAATACCCGCATTCGCCACTGCTGGGTTGCTTTGGTGTGCTTGGCAGAGTTTTCCAAATTGGTGCTTTACGGCCTGGTCTGCCTATGAGGATCCAGAAAATAGACGGTTTCCCTCTTTGCCCTCACAATCAGCAAGACCCAATGACGGCTGCACAAAATAAAATAAAAAACGACGGTTAATATAAAAAGTCAGCACCAGAAAACAAACGACGTTTATTTATAAAAACCGACGTATTATATAGTTTCACACGACGTAATAACTTAATCATCGACGTCATTATAAATTTATCACGACGATAATTAACTACCGACGTGGTTAGTTGTTTCAAACGACTCAATAAATAAATAACCGACGTGGTTAGATGTTTCAAACGACACAGAATTAGTTAAACAGTTTTATAAGTGGTCAATTAGTGAAAATCATACAAACAAAATCCTTTTAAGGAGACTAACCCTGGATTGTAAGGCATCATGAAAATCTGTTCACCATCTGTTTTCTGAAGTCGACTGGCTACAATTCGTGATCTGTCAGTTAGTGACCCAGCGTTGGCACTAACTTGAGCAGGGTCGATAAAGCCAACCATGCTGCACATATTTGCTTCTCTCAAAAGATCATATAAGCACCTAAATATATAAAACAAACGACGGTTATTTATACACAAACGACGTATTATACAATTTCACACGACGAACTGAAATAGAAACAGACGTGATAACTAATTTATCACGACGGTAAAAAAGAACGACGTGGTTAGTGGTTTAAAACGACGCAATAATTAAACAACCGACGTCTTATGATATAATGTTTGATATTTGATTAGGACAAACCTCATATATACTGCAACCACAGTAGCCCCAATTTCTTCCATGCCTGCAAACTGTGTAATATCTTCATGCAAGACGAAGGTACTTCGATCTGCACCAAACACCTCCTTCTCAATGTTGAAGGTCATGATCTTCCCCTGTGGCTTTAGTGTAGTTTCCACATAACCACAAAGGGATTGTAAGGAAGATGGCACCTCCACATTTGAATAATCAACTACTTCATTACCCTGTTTAAAGAAATAAAGCAAAATAAAATGACGTGGTAATTCATTAAAAACGACGGTTTAAATTAAAAAACGTCGTCTGATTATAATTTAAACGACGGTAATTAAATACCGTCGTTTTAGATAATTTTATTACGTCGTAGAAAATAAATTCCGACGTCTAATGTGAAAACAAACGACGGTTTAAAGAAAAATATCGACGTCTGAAATGTGAAAAACAAATTAAAAAGGCAAAGTTATGAGAATATACCTCCTCGTCATGCTTTTCTTCATCTTGTTTTTCTTCTTTCTTCTCTTCATCATTTGTGTCTTCCTTTTTGCCTTCATCTTTTTTCTCTTTTTTTTCTTCCTTCTTCCCTTCATCTTTTTTTCTCCCATCTTCTGTTCATCTTTATTTTCTTCTTTCTTCTCTTCATCTTGATTATCTAAAGCCCCAGATTTCTGTTTTAAATAATAAAGAAATATATATATAAGACAGATTGTACAGAGAGTAAAAAAATTAAACCAAAACGTCGTGGTAAGGCATAACATAAGACGGTATGTAAGAATTATGGACGTCTTAAAATTATTAAACGATGGTAAATAATAAACGTCGTGGTAATTGTATATTACGTCGTTAAGGAATAAAACCGTCGTCTAAAAACCACAAAGTACGACGTCTAATGGCGTGTAAAACAAGTAAACTAAATACGACGTGATATTTAAATAAACACAACGGGTTATTTATAAAATCGTCGTGGTATGTTTTTAAAACGACGGGTTTATTCATAATAACGACGTCTAATGTTAAAAAAAAACAGAGAATTCAAAGTTCAGTTATGTTACCGTTTCTTCCTGCTGTTCCCCATTTCTGGCAGTATCATCCTCTAAATGTAAGGATCTCCCTTCAGCCCCAGAACAGCTTGCTTTATCAGACATTGGATTTTTGGGACTTTGCTGTAGACCTTGGTTTTGACAGGGGCTAGTTTTCGGTTTAAGCATGCTTGGATCAAAATTGGGGATGAGGTGGGAAAGCTGACTTAGTAAATGTTCCCTCTCAGCCTCTACTAATTGTTTGGTTCAAGCTTCCATCTTCTTAGTCTCTTCTTGAAGGACAATTCTTACACTTTCCTTCAATTGATCAGCAAACTTTAACCTCTGTGGTCTAGGTAAATTGAAGAATTGCCTAGGGGAAATCCCAGCACCTACCCCTCTTACTCTCCCTGGATGCTCGGGACCCAAAGCCAAGGTCAACACATCATTACTGCCAGATAAACTCAGACTGCCTTCAGCCACTTGTTTTTGCAATTCATCCTAAAACAAAGACATACAAAAAAGTCAGCACAAGAAAACACACGACGGTTATTTATAAACAAACGACGCATTATATAATTTCACACGACGCACCAATATAGAAATCGACGTTATAATATATTTATAACGACGTTAATTAAAACCGACGTGGTTAGTTGTTTAAAACGACGCAATAAATAAACCACCGACGTCTTATGCTGTAATTACAGAAAACAGAGTTGTGATTCCAGATTTAGATCTTTCACGACGTTTTTGAAAACATTTCGACGTAGTAATAACATTAACACGACGAAAAAATTAACCACCGACGTCTTATGCTATAATTACAGAAAACAGATTTGTGATTCCAGATTTAGATCTTTCACGACGTTTTTTAAAATATTTCGACGTAGTAAAATCATTCACACGACGAAAAAATATAACATAAGACGTAATAAGAATTATACACAGTTTAATAAAAATTTAAAACAGAGTGTGTAGGCTTACAATTAATTTTGCTTTCTCTGCCACCTTTGGATCCGGGATGTTACCATGTTTGTCCTGTCTAGCTTTCTTCCATAAGGTAGATCGATCAATTTCTACCCCAGGCATGGTTTCCTCCAATTGATCCTCCAAACCAGCATATCCTTTTCGAGACAATCGATGATTGTACTCAAGTTTCTCCCTAATCTGTGAATGTTGAGAATGCACAGACTCAAATTCTTTGGATAACCTTGAAGCTACAAAGGCATCCCATTCTGCTTTCTCTATGAATTTATATACTTCAGGGGGTTGGCTTAATTTCTCCCTCTCCTTGATGTATGGAAGGATATAATGCCTCGTCAGTGTAGACTTGAAATCCTTCCATTTCTTGGCAGCAGAAGATAACACCGAGGTCTTGCCCCCTTGACCTACCACAAAAGCCATGTCAACGGCTTCCCAAATCTGCTCCTTTATATCATTGGGGATTTCAGCCCATTTCTTGTCCACAAGTGGGACTCTGGAGCGTGCCAACACACCAATGTAGGACTGCATCTCAGTATGTGCAGGGCCACATCCTTTCCCCCTTTTATTGTACTCAACAACTGGCTTGATTTTCTGCAATTTTCTCTTCACAACACGAGGCATTGTGCTCATACCTCGACCTGACTTTGAATCCTCAGAAATTGTTGTCGTGCTGCTTGGTTCTGTCTCAGCAGATGAAACAAACTTCATCTTCTTCAAGGGCTTGTCTTGAGGAGTTACCATTCCAAGCTCCTTACCTCCATTTTTTTTGGAGCCAGAGTACTTACTTTGGTCTTGAGAAACCATGGTTACAGAATAAACAAACCTGCAAGTGAAAATATTTCGGGAAAAAATTAGAACACAAACGACGGTTATTTATAAACTACGACGTATGATAAGATTTTACACGACGTAATAACATAACATCAGACGTAATAAATGTTTAAAGAAGAAACAATATAAATGTTTAAACAACGACGAAACAATATTAAATAAGACGTAATAAGAACTTATTACGGCGATATTTACACGACGTCGTGATATTCATATTAACACGACGTAAATATTAATATAACGTCGTGTTATGGATATTCACACGACGTGAATAATAAGCTACCGTCGTATTTATAAGAAACCAAAAACATTTTTCTTTCTCTGTGAATGTTTGATTGCAGGTTTAATTTCTCTGAAACATGGTTTTTGTTTTTCCTAATTTGATAAAATACAAAGAAAAAAAGCTTTGGCATCTTTTTATAGACGACGGTATCTTAGTATAACGTCGTGGTATGAACATTCACACGGCGTCAATAATAAGATACCGTCGTCTATATAAGATACCAAACCCTACTTTCTTTGTCTCTGTATTTTATCAAATTAGGAAAAACGAAAACCATGGTTAAGAGAAATCAAACCTGCAACTAAACAAGCAAATAAAAATTGACCGTCATTTTAAAAACAACTTAGATCAATTTTAAGACGACGCTAGGACGACTGACGAACCGTCGTGGTCTACATATTTAACCACGTAAATACAAAGCTACCGTCGTCTTATTTAGTTGAATTAGTTGTGTTCAAAGTTGAAACTTTCCCTCTCTGTCTGTGTATTTTATCAAACTTGGAAAGAATAAAAATGATTTTCGCCAGAAAAAAGGTAAAAAGATTTTCAAAACAAAAACAGTATGAGCATGCAAAATAGCAACAAAATAGTGAGAAATGAAAGCTTACCTTTTGCGTGCAATGAAAGCTTTCTCTCGGATTTTGGTGTTTAAGTTCAGAGGCGACGACGAAGACAAGAGGAAAACGATGAGATACTCTGACAGTGCTCTGACAAGGAAAAAAGACGAAAAGTTTTCTCTGGGAGATTGAAATTTTTTCTCGGGTTTGGAAACAGTGCATGTGTAAGTCAGGTAGACGAAAAGTTGTATATGTATACAAACCGTTTCATAGTAATAAGACGGCGGTTTACATAGAACGACGACGTATTAATAGACAAACTACGACGTTAATTTGAACTTATGACGTGGTACATAAATACGACAGTAGTGTTGTAGGTACCGCCGTAGTAAACTCCTAAATAAAAGTCGATAACTCAATATCTCGCGTCATGGTAGAAATATTTAACACGACGGTTGTTTTAAATTTACGAAGTTTATTTTTATAATATACGTCGTTTTATTGTAATATACCGACGTGGATAACACTAAACTAAAACGACGTATTATTTTTTTCACGACGTGGATTCGTTTTTAAACGTCGTTATGTGTAATATAACCGACGTGGATTTTTTTTTTTTATTATAAATATAATTTTTTTCCCCTTTTTCTTATAGTTTATTTTTAAAAAACAGTGCCTTATAGATATAGTTTTTTTTTCCCGAGGAAATTAATGTTCTAGAATTTGTAAAGTTTCTTTTCTAGGTGACTGATTTAAATCAAATAAAAATATAAAACAACGACTGTTTTTGTTATACCGTCGTCGTTTCTTGTCGTCTTAAGTAAGAATAAAACGACGTAATGTATTTGTTACCGACGAGGATTATTTTTGTTAAACGTCGTTATGTGTAATATAACCGACGTGGATTTGGTTTTTTAATTATAAATAGGGTTTTTTTTTCCACGGGTTCTTTTAGTTTTAGTATTCGATTAGGGTTTCAACTTCTTCTTGCCCCTTTCTCTGTCTCACCTCATCTCTTGGGAGGCAATTGTTTGAATGTTGGTTATCTGTGGCTGATTGCAAATCTGATTGCAAATCACCAATTTTCAATAAATTGTCTCTCTGATTGCAAATCTGTGGCTGCCGTCGTGAAGTTTTAGGAGGCAATTGTTTGGATGTGAATGTGTGTGTGCGTTTGTGTAGATACACAAACGCACATACATCATTCACTTCCAAAAAATTGTCTCTCTGATTGCAAATCTGTGGCTGCCGTCGTGAAATTTTAGGAGGCAATTGTTTGGATGTTGATGTGTGCGTGCGTTTGTGTAGATACACAAACGCACACATATCATCAACTTCCAAAAAATTGTCTCTCTGATTGCAAATCTGAGGCTGCCGTCGTCAAATTTCAGAAGCAATTTTTTGGATGTTAATGTGTATGTGCGTTTGTGTATCTCAAAGACACAAATACACATACATCATTAACCTCTTAAATATTGTCTTTCTGGTAAGATTATGATGAGCAACAGAGTTCCATCTTGTAAGATTTCCTAACCCTTGTGATCTCAGAATAATCTGATTATGTCGGCGGTTTTCTATATAAACCGTCGTGGTTATTTCAATTCTTGTCGTTAAGTAGATCTACCGACGTAGGATAACAAAATCCAAGAAATAAATTGTTAAAAAAAATTCTTATTCAGACGACGGTTTAAATATAATGTATGACGTATAAAGTGGACAAATACGACGTTAAATTCTATAATACGTCGTTATATGAAAACCCCAACTTGGTAAGATTTAAAGATGTCGTCGTAGAAATACGAGAAAGACGTCGTTATATTTACCTTTGCCGTAGTTGTACATTAATTTAATACGGCGGTATTTTGTATTTTACCGCCGTGGATTTATTTGTAATTATATGGCGCCTTATACGAAAACTTGGTCGTGTTAATTTCTGGGTAAAAACGACGGCTTTTTTTGAAACCGTCGTCTTTACTTTCTACGTCGGTCGGTTCATAACTTCCGCCGTTATTTGTTGGCTATGATTTTACCTCTTGAAAATCCTATTTCAATAAGACGTCGGTTTTTAATTAAGTACGTCGTGTTTTAGGAACAGCCATTTGAAACTCCATTTTTTAGTTGTCTAATGTGTTATTACACGGCGGTTTTATAAAACCGTCGTCTTTTAAAAAACAACGACGGTTTTCACTTAGACCGTCGTGTTTTTCTGGTCGTCTTTTTCACTTTTTGTAGTAGTGGAACTTCGTACGAACCTGAATTGTCCAATTTCATGGACCAATCGATATCGGATTGAGTCTAAATCTTGGGGAACATCATACTGTTGTGGGATGAGTCATTTGGTTAGTTTTGAGTGAAATCTAACGGCTAAAACTATGCAATACACCAACGACTCACCTTCAGAACGAACTTCGTACGAACCTGAATTGTCCAATTTCAAGGACCAATCGATTTCGGATTGAGTCCAAAAC